TTTAATATAATATAAAATCAAATAAAAGTTATTTATGTCATTAGGCCCATAACATGGCATATAACATTTTATTTTCAAGGCACACTTTTATTTGTGAAACATTGCCTAAAACGTATAATTCTAACAATAATTATTAAAAGTAGAATGAAGTTGGATAGATATGATAGTCGAATTTTTAAGTCGATGTGTCTAAATCATTTTTATATAGGCCATAATCAATCACTTTATACTATAGTAACAAGTGTTGACAAGAATAAAGTTTAAATTATAGACCAATTGAATTTTATTTTAAAATATATGTTTCAAGACTTCAAAACCCATAGGTATATTTAAATATCTCTATAACTAACTAAATAAAACAAATAAAAAACTAACCCTTAAAGGAATAAAAACTAGCAGCTATAATGATAAAATCATTTTGTTAATACCCACTTCAGTATGCAATAATGGAAGTGAACGACTGGATAAATATAAAATGAAAACGAATTCACTCGACTGGATTACGCGAGTATCTCGCCCCATCAGATTAAAACCCCCCTGGCAAAAAAAGCACGGCATCCTTTTTAAGGATTCCATTGTGTTTTCGACTTGGCAAGTAGGGGAAGACGCCGCAGCTCGGCACGTCCGACGTATTCCTTAAGGACTGCGAAGAACGGGGGGAGGAAGACGGGAGAGAGTAGGTAGTGTGGAATAATGAAGTAGATCATGATTCGTTATGATATCAACAGGTCTGTGACAAGTTCGGTTTAACAAACGCGCATCGCAGGCTCCGCCCACTCCTTCATTCATTCCTTTAACGCGGGCGCTGCGGTCCTGAATCGTCCTTTCGGCGGCGTGTCATCACTTCGTCCTTATTTATTATGAGGGAGAAGCGGCTATGTTTTTATCGCACACCTAATCTCTGCGGGAAACAGATTACTTTTTGCCAAAACCACATCATATTTATCGACCTTCGGTATTAATGAATACAAATATCTACTTGTTGATTTTGAACATAATCGATAAGTAGATATGTTTAAGGATTAATCCTTAAACGTATCTACTATAGTATATATGCTCCACATCAAAACGTCCCACTTTGGCGTTAAAATAAGGTTATGTATATGTCACTCCAATTTCGTCTTATTTTCTATAAATAATACTATGCAATATTCGTATTTTATATTTTCACGACCATTTAATAATCGCTATTAAGATATGAGCATTTAAGTAATTACCTGTCAAAATTGATAAATATTAGATCTGTCAGATGTCCAAGGCAATATAGTTGATATTGACAGAATATTGCCATGTGTTTCATTTCTATTGGTCAAAAATCTGTATCGTATTAAAAATGTTGTATCATTATGGATCTCATTATAGTACAGGTAAAAAATGTCCATTAAAAGTAAACGTTAATTTAGGCACGGGCGAGCTTGAGCGCAAGTGCTTAATTAAATTAGTGTCTAGAAAAGTTTATTTATAAACAAGTTGCATACTATACTTTTTCTACGAAAAATACTTATTATTATCAAAAAATGATTTAAATTAAATATTTGTATAAAACAATAGAGTAACCAACTTGGCAATCTCAAATATCAAATTTTTATGTGTAAATCGAAGTGTGTCCCTTGAAAATGGACCGTTTAATCCGATGTAGAAGCAGTTTTTTACAGTGAAAGTAAAGAAAATGTTTTATTGGCACTCCAGTGAAGTCTCCACCCAAAATTAAGTTAAATCTAGTTTACTGCCGGCGAAATTAAAAGGTCAATACAATGTTCATACAACCTTTTCAAATATAAGCGTTGAGAAACTATTTAATACTTTTGTATTTTTGTATTGAGATAATAAAATAACTTTTACATCTTGTATTAGTTTACAAGATGGCCACTTTATTTTAACGATTGTATGACATTTGACAACTGTCAATTTTTAGCCCAAGACTAAAACGCCATAAAGCCACAACTTGTCAATGTTTTTACACAAATATACACTCACAGGCAAAATAATCGATCCACACAAATTTTTGATGAATTTCAATCGCAAATAACTTTTTTATTTGATTTCGGATTTAAACAAATATTAAATAATATTGTAGATACATTAATGGAAAATCGCTCACATTTTAAAAATTACTATAAAATACACTTACGTTTATAATATACAGGTTTAAACAAAAAGATTTTTTTACCATGTTTAAGACACTCTGTAGAGTGGCAAAACTGTATATTGATCTAAATTAAGTTTTAATTATCAAGTCACATCTATTTTTAAGTTTTGTTTTTGGTTTACCTTGATATATTTATTTTTGTGGAAAATATGGATTTTTTTTTAAAACATTGCAATTTCCAATATTTTTCCTGTATGAAGAACTAAGGTTGCTATGGTACATCCATAGCCTACAGAGGATGACAGTGACAGTTTTGTTGAATCTTCCCATACTTGGACATGTCATATACAGCTTTCAAAAGCTCTCAAATTGTTTTTTATAAATTAATGTGTTAATTTTGAGGTGTCTTCTTACTTTTAAAAATGTCTCCGACTGATGTTGCCCTTTGTACTTTACTTCTTGTGACGTTTAAAAAACGTAATACTGTGACTGTCCATCCTGGATTAAATTAATTGCTCTGGCAACATCAGTCGGGGACATATCCATTTTTTAAAATAAGAAGACACCTCAAAATTTAAACATTAATTTGCAAAAAACAATTTTATAGCTTTTGAAAGCCGTGTATGACATGTCCAAGTATGGGATGATTTAATAAAACTGTCACTGTCATTCTCCATAGCATATGGATGGACCTTAGTTCTTCAAACAGAAAAATATTGGAAATTGCAATGTTTTTTTAAAAAAATCTATATTTTCCACAAAAATAAATATATCGAGGTGAACCAAAAACAAAACTGTTAAGAATAGATGTGACTTGATAAATAAAACTTAATTTAGACCAATATACGGTTTTGCTACTCTACAGAGTGTCTTAAATTTATGGTAAAAAACATCTTTTTGTTTAAACCTGTATATTATAAACGTACGTCTATTTTTTAGTAATTTTTTAAAATGTGAGCGATTGTCCATTAATTTATCTACAATATTCTTTAATATTCGTTTAAATCCGACATCAAATAAAAAATTTATTTGCGATTGAAATTCATCGAAAATTTGTGTGCATCGATTATTTTGCCTGTGAGTGTGTGTCATGGAAAATATTATTATATTATATTGAATAATATAATACGCAACATGTGGTTATTGTACGATGGTTGTGCTTCGCCTCATTTTATGCGTGAAGTTAAAGAATTTTTGAATGAACACTGTTCATTGTCAATGAATCATTGAACAGATGTATGAGCTGTTCGTAACTCAAGACATGCATAGCTAAATTTATTAAAGTATATAGATCTATAGATCCTGTCAGAGGATATACACCTACTTTGAATTAGGTACATACATATCTACATTTTAAAAGACGTATATGGATATTTTAAACATCCTCTTTAATATATATATTGTCCACTGGACACCATAGAAAAAGGACTGGGCACTGCCCAGACTCTGCTTGCATATTTAAGTTTTAGGAATGTAGAAAGTTTTAAATATATCAAAAATTATAAAATTCCTCTGAGAATTTTATTACAAATCCCAATGTCTTCCTAGGTAATAGCTGTTACGTGTTCTTTAAAAGACTTTTTTTAAACAAATTTTATTCCCAAATTTAAAAAACAAGTCGGTCCATTCAAAGCGTTATCGCTTATATGTATAGGATATGAAAACCCGACACTTATGGGGATTTTATTCTAATTTATTTTCTTTGCATCATTCAAAAATTGTTAATTTGGTTAATTTTTTGAATATAACTTATTTGCATAAGGAAGACTCTGAACCGTAAACATATGTATACAGGGTGTCCCGGAGATAGTATGCAATACTCTACAAAAGGTTTTTAAGGCGAAAAATAGTATGAAAACTTTAGGTCGGCAAATGAAGATGTTTTATTATTATTATTTTTAAAACGGTTAGAGATAAAATAATGTATTTTTTCTAGTTAAATATAGGTAAAAAAAGAAAAAAGGAATTTTTTATTTTATAAATTTGTTATTTTATTTTTATTCGAATTCGAATATGCATGGTGCAATTTATCGATGTTCAACGAGAGTATCTTTTTTACGTTGAAAAATCTTAATTTTTATATTCTGCAGCAAACTTGCAAAAAAAATTGCAAACAACAAATTTGGTATATATGTATAAAAATATTTTTATTTTTAAATTCAGCATGAAAAGTTAAGTTAGCATACAAAATTTTAATATTTTATCTCAAACCGTTTCGGAAATAATAATTAAAAACCCCTTTTAAGAGTCTGTAGCTCCCTTAGGGGCCATTTACCGATCTATGATTATACGAAGATTTCTTCCTATTTTTGTCTTTAGAAACCACGTGCCGAGTATTGCACTCTATTTTCGGGACACCCTGTATAGATAAACTAGCACATAAAAAAGGTCCAAGCACGCGCCCTTGTGGAACCCCTACCAACTAGATAGAATTTTAAGTGACATAAGATTATAATATTATTAATTTAGATAGGCTTATTATTAAGTTACTATTTACTAAATAGTATTTATTAACCACTTTGTATAATACTGCAATTCTGTAAAATTACAATTGAGAAAAATACAGACATTGGCAATGTCACATTGCAAAGAAAAATGTTTTTTGGTTCGTCTCTACAATTTTGTACATTGGACTAGTATGATTGGAGGTTTTAGTTTATTTTAAAAATGTTTACTTGCCTAAAATTTGTCAATTCGAGATTTTTGCAGCTCAACATAATAATAAATTTACTACAATTATATAAAAAAAAGTTTACCAAAGACAATGTCTTTACCTATATAATAGGTAACATAAAATAATATAAAAATATAAAGTAATTACTTTTTAACTTCATCAACTCACCCCTTCATTGCATTTTAGAGCAAGTGGCGAATGAATATTGGAGAACAATGCAATTTCTTTTTTTTTCAGATTTCATAATAAAATTGCAGTCGAAATCCACACATGTTTTCGAGGGGTGCGAGACAGTTAGAGAGGCGGCTGCGTATTCAGCCCCTGGGGACGTCTCTGGCGAGGGCATACGCAGCAGGGGAAAGTGCTCTGCCTCAACTTACAAAGGTACGTTGCCTGCAGCCAGCAATCCACTTTTCGATTTTATTATTAATTATGATCGGGGGTTAGTTACGGCGTTTTAATTAAAAAAGAATCTGGAGGGAATACAATCAAAAGGCGAAAAGAACGATTGAATTCTTTTTATGTTTTTGAAAATACTTAATTTTAAATTGGGCCTAAATAACCAAAACAATTTCCAATTTTAGAGTTTTTTTACCAAGCAAGAAATTTTTTATTTGTTAAACAATACATAATACGCACAATTAATAAAACTAGAAAGTGAGGTTAGAACAGTCTAACAGATGATTAATGAACTACTAGCCCATAATGATTTTTATGGGCTTTGGCCATAATCAACTTCATTGTCGAGTGTTCACGACAATAAAGTTTAATTTATAGACCGCTCAAAGATAAAATTGAACTAGGTACCTACTTAAACGGCATTTTTATTTAAAAAATTTGGTGTGTAAAGTTATCCAAAAATACATTTCAGCATCAACTTTTTTTTTTAAATTATCATTTTTTAATTTTCATGTTGAAAAAAATTAAAAAGGTAAATATTTATTTAAAAAAGCGCAAAGTACACTGATAAAAAAATTACACAATATAACATGTAATTTTCCATGTATAATGTTTTATTACATTTCTTATGTAATTTTATATTTTTTTATGTAAATTATCGTTGTGTAAATTTATAAATTTATAGACCTGCAATTTTTTTCTAGACAAAAAATATTTTTTTTTAATATTTATATAAGGGGATACAATAAAAATAATATTATAAAATATTAGTTTTAGAACTTGTGGTTTTTACTTACAATTTTGAATTGTGACGGGCGGGACAAAAATTACCGAGTAACGTGGAATGCCCCACATGTTAGTCGCTTCCAACTTAGTCAACCTATTGACGCCACGCGACAAAAAGAACGGGAAAAACGAAACCCTTAAAAAGACGTTCTATATAGGTCACGTGGACCAGCCCGGCGATTTCATTGGTTAGAAAAATTATTTAAAAAAATAATCATATTAAACCGTACCACAAAGCGGCCATTCCAAGCCCATGGACAGGACACATCAGAAACATGTCTAAATATATTCTTGTTACTTCCTTAAGTTTACTTATTTTTTCTACGAGTATTTATGAGAAGTATTACCCAAATTTGGCTAATACTTCTCATAAATACTGGTAGAAAAAATAAGTAAACTTAAGGAAGTAATAAGAATATATTTAGACATGTTTCTGATGTGTCCTGTCCATGGGCTTGGAATGGCCGAAAGACAATCCGTTTTCCATTTAAATAACATGGGGTTTCAGCAAGTTTTACATTTAATTTTTTTTCTCCCGAGCATGTTAATATACAGCAATAAGATACACATATTTTTATAGGAAATTTAACGCTGTACAAAAAAGCGTTCCTATGATGTTTTCATAAATTCACTGATTTAAAAGTTATTTAGGGTTAAAGTTAAACTTATAGTAATTTTTTCGATTTTTTTACTTTGACTGCAAAATTATAATTATTTTTATGAAAATGAAATGTTATTTTTAAAAATATGTGATTTTATTGTATTATTAAAAAAATAAAAATTATTGAAAAGACATTTATGTCTTTTCAATAATTTTTATTTTTTTAATAATACAATAAAATATAAGTGAAAATTATTGACAAGAGATTCCGATAAATTCAATTTTTTTTACATTAAACGAATCTGGTACTAGTGTTACTCAATTTTAGTACGATTAATTTTTTACATAATCTTTTTATTTATACGATTTGATAAAATATTACGAAATGATAAATTTTCCTTCAGCTGTAGCTAATGACGTAGAAATTCTTTTAACAATTATTTTTACGAAAAAATAAAATTAAAAAAAATTAATTTATCGGAATCTCTTGTCAATAATTTTCACTTATCTCTTTTCAATAATTTTTACTTTTTCAATAATATAATAAAATCACAAATTTTCAAAAATGAAACAATTTATTTTTATAAAAATAATGATAATTTTGCAGTCAAAGCAAAATAATCGAAAAAATTACTATAAGTTCAATTTTACCCTTAAATAACTTTTAAACAATGAATATATCGAAAATTTATAAAAGAGCTTTTTTTACAGCGTTCAATTTCCTATAATAATATGTATCACTTATTGCTGTATATTAACTTGTTCAGGAGAAAAAAAAATAAATGTAAAACTTGCCGAAACCCCATGTTATTTAAATGGAAAATGTATTGTCTTTGTGGCACGGTTTAATATGAATATTTTTTTTTAATAAGGGGGCGCTGCGAACAAAAAACCAAGTTAGTAAATAACGAACACCCTAATATTTATACGTAAAATAATTGTTTTATTACAAAAATTAAATGTATAATTTCCTAATACAGAAATAATTACTAATTGAAATAAAAAGCACATTATTTTTCTTAAATTTACACATTGGTATACCTATGTAGCAGCTACATTGTAGCTAAATATTTTTAATTTTTTTTGTAAAAAAACGTATAAAAAATATTTTTTTTATCAGTGTATGTTTAATAATTTCAAACTAACATTTAATTTCCACAATGTGTCCCAAAATTTCCCCATAATCTTAGGGTAAATTTTTAATAGAAGTTGTAATTTTTTTCCAGAATCTTTTAAATATTTGATATTAATAATTTATTATAATTTGTTGTACATTTTTATCATAAAATTTCATAATACTATAATTCAATTTATTTATTTATTATTTAAAGAATATTTTTTATTTATTTAAAGAATATTTTTTATCTCTATTGAAACTAAATTTATTAAAACTATATTTTTTAGGATAGGTACCCAGTCCAAAGAGGAGATTATGCAGAATTAACAGACAATCATTTATCCTTCTTTAAAAATCTATTGGGACATAGAGTTATAACAGACGCATCAGAATGCGAACCTTATAATATAGATTGGATAAAAAGTGTTAGAGGTAATATTTAGAACGTTTAGTTAATTTACCAAAGTATGATAATCATAATTTTAGGGTATAGTAGATGCGTTTTAAAACCAAAAACTACGGAGGAAGTGTCGAAAATAGTTTCGTTCTGTAACGAGCACAAAGTGGCAATTTGTCCGCAAGGCGGAAATACCGGTTTGGTAGGGGGATCCGTTCCTGTTTTTGACGAGGTCGTCCTTTCTTTGTCCCAAATGAACCAAGTCCTCGACATCAATGATACTTCAGGCAAGAAAGAATTTAATAATCCCCCTTTGTTATTGGATTTCATTTCGATATCGATTACATATTTTCTAATAATATTTTTTTCATAGGGGTTTTGGTTTGTGAAGCTGGTTGCATATTGGAGAATTTAGATGAACGATTGAGTGATCATGGGCTTATGATGCCCTTGGATTTGGGGGCAAAAGGATCCTGTCATATTGGTGGAAACGTGTCCACTAACGCTGGAGGATTAAGGCTCTTAAGATATGGAAATTTGCAAGGATCAGTTCTAGGATTAGAGGCTGTAAATAAACGAATCATAAAATAACTAATTATTTTGTATCATACGTATTTTCTGTTTAAGGTAAAAGCAAATGGTGAAATTTTAGACTGCCTTAGCACTTTAAAAAAGGATAACACAGGGTTTCATCTGAAACATTTATTCATAGGATCTGAAGGATCTTTAGGAATTGTTACTAAAGTTGCCATACAGTGCCCACCTAAACCCAAGGCTGTAAATTTAGCATTTTTGGGTAAGGAAATTATAATATGTAAAAATGTAATCTATAATATAATTTTTTTTAATATGTTTATTAAAAAAGTCAAACTTTTTTTGTAAAATTTAACTTTGTGTGTTTCCAAAAAAGCAACGATATTGTATGGAATTACCCATATTTGTATACATATATCAAAGATTAAACAAATCTCTCCCCGGTATAAAATATTGATTTAACAAACTAGCGCCTCTAGTAGAAACTTTTGGAAACTCGAATTCCACCCTTACTTAAGGGATGGCGTTATGTGTACCATTTTTTAAATTTATATCGGGTGGTCTATAATGTTAAGAAGTTTTAAGCAAATTATATTGGAAAATTGACAATTGATTTTTTATTTATTACGCCATGATTCGAATAATAAAAGAAAGTTAAAAAAACGTTAAAAAACCTGAAAATAACAAAAAAACTAGGTTTTTTCACCTTACATCTCTAAATATACTCTACACAGTAAAAACATATTTGTTAATTTTAATATTAACCAGATTTTTTGTTAATCCAGGTCCACATTTTTTGTTAATCCAGGTCCACATAACGTTATGTTAAGTTTACAACCCACTGTAATCTGTTAATTAATTTAATAAGTAGTTTGTAATTATGACAAACATTTTGTAGATTTAATCACAATCCGTGGATTGTGGATTTAATAACAAAATCTTATGTCAATAATTCAACCATAATTCTTGTAATTCTCAAAAAGGACCTTATTTTTACAAACCTTTGTAGACCCAGTATCAAAAGTATTTGTTGGAAATTGGGGAACTTAAATGAAAAGAATTTTGATAAGAAATGTTGCTTTGTTAATCAATTTCATAAACAAAAAATTAACACATAGGGTACCTACATAAATGAACACATAAAAAACATTCACTGTACCCCCTAATTTCAGTTTTTTTCGAATACTTCACACCTCGCACACTAGTTAAATAATAAACTTGTCAATATTAAATTTTTGGACTTGTACTGTTTTTACCGATTCAATTACAAACCCTAGTTTTCTACAAAAAATTATGTTAAAATTTAACAAAATAAAATTAACAAACTACAAACTCATGTTAACAAATCTGATTTTTATAACAGTGTATGCGAAATACGCGAGATTTAACAAATTTGATATTCAGTTTTCAAGGGTTTTCGCATCGCAGTAGTATATCTAAATAATAGTATTTATTTAAAAAGATTTTCCTGAATGTTTACTTTAATATGATTTTTTTTTATTGATTATGTATAGACTACTTACTTTTAACTTCAACTTTCTTTTTTTTTTTAATATTTTATTTATGATCCATATAAATGTTTTTTTCAGCTTGCCCAAGAATAATAGTTACACCTTGTATAATCATTTACTTTTTTAGGATTAAAATCTTTCGAAGACATTCTTAAGGTTTTAAAAAAGGCGAAACACGAACTAGGAGAAATTCTGTCGTCCTGCGAAATGATAGACGAAAGGTCTATAAACGTGTGTACAGAACATTTAAAGGTCAAGAACCCCTTGCCAGATTATCCGTTTTATATGCTGATAGAAACCCACGGCAGTAATAACGCACATGATGAAGAAAAACTTAACCAATTTTTAGAGAACGTTATGTCGGACGGCTTGGTTCTAGATGGTACTGCTACGAATGAACCCAGCAAGATGAAGGTAAAAAATGTATTTTTAAAACATTACAAGAATATGTTATATACCCAAATGGTAAATTTATGTAGGGGGGTTTGACCATTCTCTATTTCCAATAATGTATTTAAAAACACCTAATTTTTGTTAGTACTAAATAAAATGTCAATTGAAATAGTAAATAAAATATTGAATAAAATATTAAATGAAATATTCATAAAATATTTAATGATATAAAAAAGAAATAATAAATGTTATGTTAAATGAAATATTTTATTTAAAATTTGATGCCAATAATATTTATTAGGTATAAAACTTGAAAAGAAATATAAATATTTTAAAAGTATTAAGTAGTACCTACCTATATTTTTAGAAATATTGTAAACGTGCCTATATATTTTTAGAACATTTGGGAACTTAGAGAACGCATCACAGAAGGATTACTGTATGATGGTTACGTTTTTAAGTACGATATTTCCCTACCTATAGAAAATTTCTACTCGTTAGTTCCTGTTATGAAAGAAAGACTGGGTAGTGATGCTGTAAGAATAAGTGGATATGGACATTTAGGTAAAAAAACAAACTTTATTCAAACCAATTTTTATTTTTATTTAATTTTAGGTGATGGTAACATTCATTTAAATATCTCGGTCAAGGACTTTACGCAGGAGATATACAAAAAAATTGAGCCTTTTGTTTATGAATACACCTCAAAATTTAGGGGTAGCGTTAGTGCTGAACACGGTATAGGTTTCAGAAAACCCAAATATATACACTATTCCAAAAGTCAAGAATCTGTGCAATTAATGAAGGAACTGAAAAAACTCATGGACCCTAAGGGAATTTTAAATCCATACAAAGTATTGCCTTAATAATACTCTGTATACCTACATACAAATATTTTTTTATTGTTAAATATATAAAGTTGTTTTTTAAGAATATTTTTGTAAAAAATTATTTTAATTTTATGAAATAAATTTATTTTTACACTTTATATTATTATTTTTAAAATATACCGTTTTGCCTTAAAGTCGCGTACCACCTTGAAGGTGTTTGATTCATAGACCTCCAATATACCAAAAAATTGTTAAAAACATTCTACCTTCATTATTAAAACGATACAGGGGATACGTAGATGTGCGCGACTTAAGACAAATAAATAATATATCAATATTTCTAATAAATAAATTTAACCAATTCACACACTGTACAAATAAATAGTATATTAATATTTCTAATAAATAAATTTAAAGAACAAAAACGATAAGCAAAATAAACAAAAGCGGCTGACTGTGTGGTGAAAATTTTAAAAAATATTTTGAAGATTATTATATTGACCCCCGTTTACCAGTAACCAAAAAAGACCATAATTTTGCTTAATCAGCTTGTTTAAAAAAAAATCGATATGCAAACATTTAAATTTTCATATATATTTTTTTAATAACATAAAAAAATTATACACTTTCTTAATTGTCTTACTGTGTTAAAATTTTAACGCAATTGAATAAAAATAGGCAAAATGGCACTTATAACAACCGCGCTTATATAACTATTGTTCAAAGAATTTATTTAAGGAGTAATATACTGTGTATACACGTGCAAGGAGCTGAAATTACTGTAACTACCAATGATGACACTCGCGGTTGATTTGAGTGTCATTGTGACAATTTTTATTTGATTGCATTGAAATTAATATAATAAAATACATGAATAAAACTGCAAATTTTGTCAATTTCATTTAAATCGGAGCAAAATTGTATGCGTAACACTTTAAAAATGTGGTTTGTCTGCAGACGTTTATGAACATTCAAATGAGGAGGAAAAGAACCTTCTCTATAAGCAGAAGCTTCTCCTATAGGGATCTACAACTGTAGCCTACAGTCTGTAGGTACTATTATTTTAGGGTATTTAGGATTATTATTTTATTTTATTGCTCTAAACATAAAATAATAATAAAAAATATTTCTAATATCATATTAGTAATATGTTCAGTAAACATTAGATTTGTACTAACACTAGTAATTTTGGGCCCAACTATTTTAGAAACATTCCATATACCTACTATATTACAAATTAAATGTTATTTTAAAGTTGCATATAAATTAAATTTCAAATACATATAATAATAATTATTCCTGGCTATAACCCAGAAACCTTTTCTAATAAAGTAATTCTACCCCAAGTCGTGAGGCCCACATAAATCGTATGTAGACCCTATATTGTGCAGACGGGACTAAATAAATAAAAATATATACATAATTGATTATTATTTAATAATTCCTAAATTTAAAAACTGGAATAATGAGAAGTTAATTTGACATATTGTCACCTGAGAATTATAGTGTTCTATCTGCATTTTTTTAAAATTGTTTTTAAATTGATGTTGATCTTGTTTTAAGTCTTAAAGATGCATATTGTTCCTATCTATATATAATTGGGGTAGAAATTGTATAGTTTAAGGCTTAAACTGTACAATTTCTACCCCAATTATATATATATAAAACAATATGCATCTATAAGACTTAAAACAAGACTGACCTCAATTTAAAAAAAAATGCAGATAGAAAACTATAATTCTCAGGTGACGATATTGCAAAATAGTTATTTTGTTTGCATTGAGCTGTTTAATTTTTTCATTTAAATAATCTCTAGGTTTTCGGGTTGCTGCTTTTGGAATTCGTACTATATTGAACACATATAATTCAGCTTGGTATTTTTTTATGCATCGACAAAAAAATATAATATATTCCATGTTTACGGAGTACCTATGCAAAACAAAGAAGCTAATGAATAAAATTTATCATAATTTTGCTTATAAGGAAACAAGGGCTTATTACTTAGGTATGTGTTTTGCTATGGAATTCCCCGGAATGCCATAACATCTCATGCCGTTTACCTGCGACCGGACTATACGCAAAATAAGCGGACGAAATTGTGAATTGTTATGGAAATTAGCTATAGCTTATTAATTATAATTGGACGAAATTGTAATCTCTGTGTGAAATATTGGTTTCCTGCCTGGAAAATGTTCATATAGAATTTGCTTGCATTTTTTACAAAACTTAATGAATGAATGTTATTTTAATTTACCTAATTATAATAATAATAAAAGATACACATATAGACATTTAGAATTTATAGAAGATTTACCATAAACAAATATTAAATAAATAAAAAAACATTAAATTAAAATAACGTTCGTTAATTCAGTTTTGCAAACAATGCAAGCCATTGTAAAAGAAACTGAGCAAATAAATAAATTAAATTAAATAAGTGAAATTTATTTGCTTTTTTTAAATCATTGACTTTCAAATTAAAAAAGTATAAATAAAATTTTTAATATTTTCTTATCTTTGTTAGTCTCAGCCAACATTTAATTATGTTCTCATTAAGTTTATGCTGTTTATTAGTGTATATTATTTAGATAATATTGAACAAGGGTCCCTGATAACATTTAAATGATTGTAATTATTTACAAAATGATATGAATTAAACGCATTTTTTTTAAATATGCTTACTTCACTTTCTGGTTGAGTAGTGATATGTAAATTAAAATAACATAAAAAATGAACAACTTAAAAAGATTGCCGTTGGCATTTTTTAAAAGAAGTATTACCACTGAATTTACGAAGGTAAATATTTTTGTGCCAAGTAAAGAATTTGGCTAAGATGTTTTTTGTAGAATAAATTTAAAGTGCAAAGAGGAAATTACAATTATTTGGATGAAAGTCATATAAACTTCTTCAGGGATCTCCTAGGAGAAACTAGGATAATTATGGATTTGTCTGATTTAGAGAAATATAATGTAGATTGGTTCAAACAATGCAGAGGCTCCAGTGGCTTAGTTCTTAAACCCAAGAATACAGAAGAAGTGTCTCAGATTTTAAATTTTTGCAACAATAACCGCTTAGCAGTATGTCCCCAAGGAGGAAATACAGGGGTGGTTGGAGGATGCACTCCTGTTTTCGATGAAATTATTATTTCCATGGAGTTAATGGATAAAGTTATTGATTTAGATGATACATCAGGTAAAAAACAACCAATTAATCTGTTAAATCCAATAAAAAAATCTTTATTTTGCTCTTAAATTCTTGGTTGAATACCACTGCAGCTGCAGCTAATGCTGACTAACAGCTAATTGATTTTAATATAGTGGATGAAAAAGTTTCAAAATAGTAATAGTAGAAAGTAGTAATTTTAGTTGCTTAATCCGAAAAAAATATAAAACACAATTTATTGTTTTTTGGTCAGTGGCGTACATTTTTTTGTCAAAAATATTCGTTAAGGTTTATCAAAGTTTAACACTTGAAAAACGAAGCATTTGGAACCATGTTTATATAAACATTTTGTCTTAAAATCACCCCAAGAATCGTCTGTTAAATTTCTATTCTATAATTGGAACCTTAATAAGATTTTTTTGTAAGTAAAAAAGGATAAAACAAATAAGCCTTTCTATAAGATTGATTAAATACATAGGAATAAAAAAGGAATTAATGTTTAAATGTAGAAAGAAAAAAAAGAAAAAAATTGTTGTTTTTACTAAAAATCATCTACAGGAAAATACATTATATCAGAAATTACCCATTTGTTACATGTTTTACCCATTGTTTTAGGTATTTTGGTATGTCAGTCTGGCTGTATTTTACAAAATTTGAATGAATATTTGGAAAGTAAAAACTTAATCGTTCCTTTGGATTTGGGAGCAAAGGGGTCCTGTCAAATAGGTGGAAATGTATCAACAAATGCTGGCGGGATAAGATTGTTAAGATATGGAAATTTACATGGAAATATCTTGGGATTGGAAGTCGTAAGTTTTTTACCATATAAATAGGAGAGTAACAAGGGACGTAGCGAGAGGGTGTGTCACATCATGGTGCACCCATATTTTTCCAGAAGTCATTTTCTGAGGTTCCAATATTTTAAATGAATGAGAACAAAATATGGGTAGTTTTAAAAAAATCGTCATTTTCCGAAAATTATTTAGTTAAAGATTTTTAATGATACGAAGGTGAATTCGGATCCTCATTTTTCTGTAAATTCACCAGTCGGCTTTTTCGAAAGCTTTATTACCTGCCGACTAATGTCGACTGCAGCTTAGTTTACTCATTTATTTTATAGAACTTATCATGATTATTCAGTAAATTCGTGGTCTTTTTGATAGAAAACTGGGAAGATATTTTTCTAGTAATTTCTAACAAGAATGGACAATTTGCTGGGACTCGGCTCATTCTTTTTTTTATTTACAAATCTACCATATTTTGATGCTGCCAAAGTAAATATAAATATGTCAGTGAAATTCTTTAGTCGGGAATGTAAATATTCGATTCAAATGTCTTTAATAATAATAATAATAATAATAATAATAATAATAATAATAATAATAATAATAATAATAATAATAATAATAATAATAATAATCATGATAGCAAAATTTGATTTTAAGAATCTTCTAAGAAGATATGACCCGGAATAATGGAACATTCTTAGAACCTTTCCTTATTGCTAAGAATGTTCTTAGGGACTTTTAAAACATTCAATAGATACCTTTTTAATGATGCAATTAGATTCTTAAAAGCTTCTTAAAACCTTCCTAAAAAGCATCCTAGGAACATTTTAAGAATACGTTTTTGGTTCTTAGAAGGTTTCTTATGGAGCTTCTAAGAAGCTTTTGAGAATATTCCCAAATATGTCAGATAGCCACGTTCTAATATGTTGTATACTACAGACTGTCTACAATCGTAAAATTCTTCATGAGACGACAAATATGCCTCACTGTCATAATATGACAGTGAAATGTATTTGTCGTCCCTTAAAAAATTTTGCGAGATATTATAGTTATTTATGTATTAAGGGCATAATAAGGTTTTTATGGTCCGAGGCGCTATTTCGAGCCCGAGCGCGTTAGCGCGAGGGCTAGAAAAGCGTCGTAGGACCATAAAAACCAGTTATGCCAGCAATGCATACAAAACTTTATGCACGATTAATATATTATTATTTTTAATATATTATTGTTTTTAAAGACGTTTACGTCAAAGAATTTTTGTTATAATTGTCATATTATAATGTCAACTGACATCAGTCAGTTTTAAAGTTTAAAGATAAATGAAATTGAGGAAGCAGCTGAAAAGGCGAAAAATTGCGGCCTGCTGCCAGTAAAATCAAAATCTTTATACGAAAAAACTTACTTCGAATATATCAAATGGTATAACATTGTTGTTTTTAATTTTTGACGTTTCATTATAGCCCGCTGGGCCATAATAACGCCCGCGGGCTATAAAAAGACGTTTACGTCAAAGAATTTTTGTTATAATTGTCATATTATAATGTCATCGTGCATAATAGTTATTTATGTATTAAGGGCATAATAAGGTTTTTATGGTCCGAGGCGCTATTTCGAGCCCGAGCGCGTTAGCGCGAGGGCTAGAAAAGCGTCGTAGGACCATAAAAACCAGTTATGCCAGCAATGCATACAAAACTTTATGCACGATTAATATATTATTATTTTTAATATATTATTGTTTTTTAAGACGTTTACGTCAAAGAATTTTTGTTATAATTGTCATATTATAATGTCAACTGACATCAGTCAGTTTTAAAGTTTAAAGATGAATGAAATTGAGGAAGCAGCTGAAAAGGCAAAAAATTGCGGCCTGCTGCCGGAAAAATCAAAATCTTTATACGAAAAAACTTACGTCGAATATATCAAATGGTGTAACATTGTTGTTTTTAATTTTTGACGTTTCATTATAGCCCGCTGGGTCATAATAACGCCCGCGGGCTATAAAAAGACGTTTACGTCAAAGAATTTTTGTTATAATTGTCATATTATAATGTCATCGTGCATAATAGTTATTTATGTATTAAGGGCATAATAAGGTTTTTATGGTCCGAGGCGCTATTTCGAGCCCGAGCGCGTCAGCGCGAGGGCTAGAAAAGCGTCGTAGGACCATAAAAACCAGTTATGCCAGCAATGCATACAAAACTTTATGCACGATTAATATATTATTATTTTTAATATATTATTGTTTTTAAAGACGTTTACGTCAAAGAATTTTTGTTATAATTGTCATATTATAATATCAACTGACATCAGTCAGTTTTAAAGTTTAAAGATAAATGAAATTGAGGAAGCAGCTGAAAAGGCGAAAAATTGCGGCCTGCTGCAGGTAAAATCAAAATCTTTATACGAAAAAACTTACTTCGAATATATCAAATGGTGTAACATTGTTGTTTTTAATTTTTGACGTTTCATTATAGCCCGCTGGGTCATAATAACGCCCGCGGGCTATAAAAAGACGTTTACGTCAAAGAATTTTTGTTATAATTGTCATATTATAATGTCATCGTGCATAATAGTTATTTATGTATTAAGGGCATAATAAGGTTTTTATGGTCCGAGGCGCTATTTCGAGCCCGAGCGCGTCAGCGCGAGGGCTAGAAAAGCGTCGTAGGACCATAAAAACCAGTTATGCCAGCAATGCATACAAAACTTTATGCACGATTAATATATTATTATTTTTAATATATTATTGTTTTTAAAGACGTTTACGTCAAAGAATTTTTGTTATAATTGTCATATTATAATATCAACTGACATCAGTCAGTTTTAAAGTTTAAAGATAAATGAAATTGAGGAAGCAGCTGAAAAGGCGAAAAATTGCGGCCTGCTGCAGGTAAAATCAAAATCTTTATACGAAAAAACTTACTTCGAATATATCAAATGGTGTAACATTGTTGTTTTTAATTTTTGACGTTTCATTATAGCCCGCTGGGCCATAATAACGCCCGCGGGCTATAAAAAGACGTTTACGTCAAAGAATTTTTGTTATAATTGTCATATTATAATGTCATCGTGCATAAATATATTTATTTAAAAATATTAAATAAACAATTTGACCTCTAAACCATAAGTTGTATGATATTATTTCATAAAAAGTAAAATTGAAAAATTTTGTGGGATAAGTCAGATTAGATTGAAGTTAAAGATAGCTAGGATTATTATACATAAAAATGTTAATTCAGAAATAAAAAATCGGTATACAAATTAATAAATTTATTTTTAACATAAAATACAATACCTCAAGTAAAAGTATTTTTGTTATCGAATATTGATTTAATATGACAAATAACTATAGTTATATAAAAAATATTTTGGATTGTGTTTTTTACTTAGTATTTAATACTAATTAGTAATTAGGTACTTAAGTATAGGTGTATACCTTTATACGTAGTTTATGGTATATTTTACTATTAATTATAATTATATAGGTAACTGAACTAAATATGCTTACCAGGAATATTCCTAAATGAACTTTCTATAGCAATTACTTTCTTAACATTCTAAGCATAATATGCATATTATGTTTAGAGTAGACTAATTTTTACCACTAAAACCTTGCACCTTCTAAGAGCCTACCTATAGGCCAGTAAGAATAATATTAGGATCATGCTATATTTCTTTTAAGCAAGTTCTTTAGAAGAAATATAGCATGATCCTAAGAATATTCTCACTGGAAGGTTTAAAATAAAGTGTGCTGACTAATTTTCGAGTGATTCCGTAGCAGCGTCAGTTAAATTTAGATATAGTCAACAGAAAAAGTTTCACAATTTTCTTTAAATTGCCTTTCTTGTAAAAATTTAAGTTTAGTTTAGATGCACGTTGTGCTGACCTTTTGATTTCGCCGACAGTAAACTAAATTTAACTGATTAACCATTATAAATTCCGGGTGGAGACTCCACTGTGGAGTGCTTCAAAACATATTCACGGAATAAATTTCGATTTACACATAAAAATTTAAAATTTAGACCGGCGCGCCTGTAATACAGATTCTCTATCTCTATTGTTTTATAGATGTCGCTCCATACAAATATTTAATTTAAATCATTTTTAGATAATAATAAATAATTGTCGTAAAAAAAGTAAAATATGCAACTCGTTTATGAACTTTTATGAACTCATTTAATTAAACACTCGCTCGTGCCTCAACAAAATTCGTGACTAATATGGCGTTTATTAAACTTGATACCTAATATACTATTTTTTAATTTTAAATAACAAAACACGAACAATTATTAATTATTGTTTATTTATATATCGCCCCAAAAATGTAAAAACAAAGATAGTAAACATATACTCACATTATTATTTTCACAACGGCAATGCAAGTGTAAATGACATAAACTTGTTTTTCGTCTACAACTTTAACTGTTTTAAATAAATGCTGTTTTTTATAATATTATTAGGGATATTATTCAATATTTGGTCACTTTCCTCTGCACCATTTGGACAGCACTTTAAAGACTTTTTTATCTTTAGTGTAAATAGAGTTGATGATAAATTATTTTTCCAAATATGCGAATACCCATTTCATTTTTGGAAAAATTGATAGGTTTTCTAGCAACTATCAGAACTAGAGAATTTAAATACTAAACTATTTTGATATTAGGTAACCGCTACAGGAGAGATCATGAATTGCATGAGCACCCTCAAAAAGGACAACACTGGATACCACTTAAAACATTTATTTATTGGATCTGAAGGAACTTTAGGGGTAGTAACGAAAGTGGCTATCCAATGTCCACCGAAATCAAAACATGTAAACGTAGCATTTTTAGGTAAAATACTGTTAAACTTGCTTTAACTCCAAACTCATATTAATATTTTTTAGGTTTAGAAAATTTTGACAAGGTATTGGAAACCTTCAAACGCGCCAAACAAGACCTAGGCGAAGTTCTCTCCGCCTTCGAAGTTCTCGACTCTGAAACGATGAGGTTTAACAAAGACAAATTTCAAATAGAATCTCCAATAGGCAACCACCCATTTTATTTGCTTATTGAAACCAGTGGCAGCAATCAGCAGCACGATAGCGAAAAATTAAATGGACTTTTGGAAAAACTACTAAGTGAAAAGTGTATTACAAATGGTACCGTGGCTACTGATGAGGCCAAAATTAATGTAAGAAAGTTTATTGCTCTTATATCAATTTAAAAACAAGTTGTTTTTTGTTTTAGTCCATTTGGAATATAAGAGAAATAACTCCACAAGGGTATAAAATGGACGAGTTCGTATTTTGCTATGATATCTCGGTACCATTAAATCATTACTATGGTATAGTAGACGAAATCAAAAGTAGGATGGGTAACAAGGCTAAAAGGGTGTTTGGTTATGGACATTTAGGTGAGCCTAAACATTTTTTAAGCCTTAAAACAATATTGTCCAGGGGTGTTGTGAGGTGTCGCAACTTTTCCGAGGTTCCGTTAATATATATGTATTAATTGTAAGATTCGGTTCCTCATTTTTCTGTGAATTTACTAGTCTGCAAGTTTTATTATGGAATTTTTACTTAACTTCTTTATCCACTTGCCCCTTCAATTATGATTAATCAATTAATGTAGTTATGTTATTCGGTATTAGCGTAATTTCAGATTTTCAACTGGGGTGGCAAGGTGTACTGTGGGTCTGGGGGATATGGAATACCCCCAATTGTAAGGGGTCCTCCCTCAGGAAATTAAAAAAAAAACTAGCATTAAATTGTTCGTTTTTTTAACTTTTTCAGACTATTTTTACCACAAAATAAATGCTAGGTAACATTCTCTATTTTCCCTAAAAGATTAATTGTTAATTACAGCCAAAACATTCATCATCATTTACATAAACTCAAGAGTAAGTATTTTTAATTAATTGAGTCTTCTGCCTGATCTTTTTTGTAAGAAAAAATAAAGCAAAGATACAAAAAAGTAAAGTTTTTCCTTTGACTTAAATTAAAATCGTCAATTACTTTGGAAATTTCTATATCAACACTCCTTTTGATAGTGTTTGATAGCCTCATTTGAATTGTAAAAAACAAATGGTAAAGACGGATTTAATGACTTCTTTGTAAATTATTGATATTTAACTTCTAAATTGTGGTGTGGAAATTGCCACCCCTTGCCACCCCCCGAATTACGCCACTACTATCAGCCATACACCAACCTTAAATAAAAGAAGTAAAAAATAAAAGAAAGATTTTAATTTAAAATAAAAAAGTCATCAAACACATGTGAGCTTAGACCAAACGGCTGAAGTGAAATTTCTTTTGGACAATATAATTAAATTTGTTTTTATATAAAAATATTTAATAGAAAATCATATTGAGATTTAAATTAAATGTAAGGGCAGTTTTTTATAATCCAATTCTGTTCAAATTTGGGCTGTTTTCAATAACAAGAAAAATTTTGAGCTTGTTTGAGCTCTTAGTCTATTTTAAGCTTGTTTGAGCTCTTAGGCTGTTTTAAGCTTAGGAGCTTTTTTGAGCTTTTTAAAATTTAAAAAGAAAATGTGAATTTTAAAAATATGCAAAATATTGAAAATCCTAAAAATTTTGGAGTTTTTGAAAATTGTCCTACCATTTTTATATTTATACTACAGTGCGAATTTTTCCTACCATTTTTTAAATATAGTTATAGGTAAATATATATAGGTAAATATATATAAGTTTTATATATATATAAGTTTTCGTTTCACTTTCGTAAAGTTTTGATTTACCCCGTTTGCAAAGAAGTTAAAAAAATGTAACAAATTATTCCGTTTTCGACGAAAACTTTTTTCCCATTTTCGTCCCGATCCAAGATACCTCCATACCAAATTTTATTAAAATCGAGTCAGCCCTTAAATACTAAAAAAAAAAATGGAGGATGTCCGGGAATAAAACTGAATTCCATGGAGATGGGAGATTTTTAGCGGTTATTCATGTCATTATAGGATGGCACTGTCCTTTAGATCCAGCGGTTTGTTCTGGGAGTTAATGAATCAGTATCAGAACAAGCTGCTGCAGCGCCCTTGACCAAAGGATCATTTTTCTCATTTTACTCTTCTTGAAAAATTTGCAAATAAATATCGTTTTAGGTGATGCAAATCTGCATCTACAAGTGGCAGTTAACACTTATAGTCAAGAAACAAGAGAGTTGTTGGAACCATTTTTATTTGAAAGAGTACGAGAACTAAATGGCAGTATAAGTGCAGAACATGGAATGGGATTTCTTAAAGGCAAATACCTAGGTTTGGCAAGACCAAGCTCTTCATTAGGCCTTATGAAAAGATTAAAACGAATGTTTGACCCTAACGGAATTTTAAATCCTTACAAAGTATTCCCATATTAAAAATAAATATTTTTTAAACACAATAATGTGTTTGATTAGTTTATCCCAAAGACAAAACTGTTAGATAATCTAACTCGCATTGCGAAATTATTATTATTTCCCATCAAATGAAATGAAGGAAAATATTATAATAAATTAGGATGTCTATACCTAGATAGAATTTACATCTGATATCCTTTACTGTAGAATTTATATTAATAAAATTGGTAGTAGGCATCACAGATATTTTTTTAAGTTCTTTTTCATGATATTCACATCTGACAACATCGTATATATTACATCTGACAACATCGTATTCTAACCTTACTTACATAACCTCAATAAACGTTTATATTTCAATGTTCAAAACCTTTAAATAAACGAATTAATATGGAAACCGAAGAAGATTCAATATTTAACAATGACCCAATTTACATGAAAAGCTTGATAGGCAAAAAAATCAAGATAAAAACAGTGGAGGAAACATACCAAGAAGGTATAGTCTACGTTATAGACCCAATATTTAAAACTGTTGTTTTATTTTGCAAACTAGTCAATGGTAATGGTAGAGAATACAGTTTATTTCCACATCACGCAATAGAAAGCCTAGAAATTCTTTCAAATGATGTAAATCTTAGTGGGTTTCCTACAAACGAAGAATCACTTGAGAATTGCGTGGAGAAGAAAGAGAAGCTTAAAAGATGGCTAAGACATATGTTTATAAATTTTGCTGAATCTGGTGATAATATTAAAATAGATGATCACTTAGTTATAGTGCCTCCTTATGGAATTGATAATTGTATTTGTAACAATATGATTGTATTGGATAAAATACAGAAAATTATTTCATTGATGCCTTCTGAATTTAGCTGATAAGGTAAGATGTTATTGTTTTATTTATTTGTCGGTTTTCCCTATTTTTTACCCAAAAACTATTAATTTTTTATAATTGATATTAGACAGAACAGTATGTTAATTTTATGAGGGAAAACAAAGAATTGGTGCAATTTCAAAAGTATGTTTTGAAATATTGATACCTATTATTAGTTACAGTAGAAGTACTAAAATTTAAAATGGATAGGGAAATTAATAAAACTCATTTCAGACATTTACCCTATAGTTTGGTTTATTTTCTATGCAAGTATAATAACATGAATAAAATATTTGTAATATAATAAATAAGCTTAATGGATTAATAAATATAAGTATAAAAGTACATAATTTTTTTAAAACATAACAAATTGAGCATTAAAATTTAGTAATGTAAAATATACTAATATAATTTGGTAAGACAAACTAATACTTACTTAATATTTTTGTTTTTTACAATACAATTTTACTTTTGTAAATTCTATTTAATTTAGGTAACACTTGCTATTCTAGTAATTTGCTTGTTTTAAAGTTTTGCCTACCAACTTAAGTTTGTACTAGAATCTTTTGTGATAGGTTTTTCTTCTAAATTTTGGTCGCATGTATCTAAGAAATATTCAATTTTTTCCAATAAATTTGTCGCAACATTTGCAAATTCTTCCCAAATTAAATATTCTTGAGTAACATATAAATCAGTTTCTGGTGCAGATTCGGAAATACCAAACAACTTTTCTTCATCTAAAAAAATATAATTATTTTACAAAAACATTTAATCAATAAAATAATATTACCTAAGAAATCTGACAAAATAACCAAAAGTTCTTGTACTTCACTTTCTGATATAAGTTGACATAGGTTTCCTATATTGATACAGTAGTTCCAAAGGGTCTGACATACCAAGGTTCCTAATACCCAGTCCCTCTCACAATAGTTTTTCAATACTATTATTAATTTTTCAACGCCTCCACTTGTTTTAAATAACTTCCTTGATTTATTATCTGACATTAAGTTTACAAACACGCCTATCGTGGTTTTTAATAAAGTTAAATCAACTAAAAAATAAACAAGGTGAATTTTTTTTTCTGTAAAATACCCTTATACCTTTGTCCAGTAAATTTATTAATATGGAAAAAACTTCACATTCTGTAATGTAACTTCTTGATATGTTTGATCTTGAAAGATTTCCTAATATCCTCATCGTTTCCACAACGCATTCCTTATTTCTTGATTTTGTATATTCAGTTATACCTAAAATATAAAACAATGACGTAGTTATTTTATTAAAAAAAAATATATAATTTACCATCAATTATGTCGACCTGTTTGATGTGGAAAATGTCAACCTCAGATTCAGATGTGTAGTAATAAGATAAGTTGTTTAGCGTGCTTAATACTGAAAGTACTAATTCTTCATTTTGCTTAAATGGATTGCTTATTAATGCTTTTAAAGTTTCCTCGATTAAAGCGTTGCCGAATTTTTCATTTACTTGCTTCCCTATGTCAGGGTTTATCACCAAATTCGCTATTACTCTAATTGTCTAAAAATAATTTATAAACAAGAATTTCTTGATGAAAATTTTAGAGCATATAAACAAAGGCCCACATGGGAGTTTCTAGACACTTAGTATATTACCTTTATCATAACGTCCTCTGTATTGGGTAAATTTTCATCAATATTGTCCAATTTGATAGAACAGTTCTTTAATGTTCTCTCAAGATATATTTTCCATATGTTTATTAGACTAGCCATGGAATTTTCTTCTTGGAAAAACTTAAAATCAAAATAATTTTTATATTGTAAGAATTACTTATTATAGTTATTTAATTTACTTTAACTCTTGTATTATCAATTTTTGAAACAATATTCCCAAGAGTGTACGTTAACCTGACTATTATCTCTTCATTTCCAGGATATTTGTCAAATAGATTAATGAAGATTTTATAAATATTTTTATAATCCACCAAACTATCGCAACAGCAGTCATTCGTTGAAATTATACTAAATAAATAAAACATATTTTATTAATAAATTTTCTTATAAAAACATTTATTTTATTTACATTACCTTAACGTCCTAGATATGTTAGCAATGACATCCAAATCTGTAGAGAAAATTTCCATTGTCCTACAAAGCTCATTTATTGCACCACTACTTATAAAATTGTCAAAAATTAATTCTTCAGACACCAAATTTCTTAAAGCTCCTGTTAATTGAAATAAAGCGTGATGTGTCTGTTCTGGGATACTTTCCTTATCAAGTTTCTAAAAAATTTAAAGAAACATCATATGAATCCCTGTGGGACACCAATGTAATTATAATTAAAAAAGGGATTTCCAAAAATTTCACAAATGGAAAAAATTAAGTTGACATTTATTTTCCGTTAGATTTCGCTTCAGACAGTTTTTGAAAATTCTGAAAATTAATCATGGCAAAAATCAGGTTTGGCATGAATAAATTTATTTAAATGAATAAAAACAAATGATTAAATTAAAAAAAATGCATGAATGAATTTAAATGAATAAAATCAAATGATTAAATTAAAAAATAGTCCGAAAATAATTTAAACTTATACCTTTAAATTAATTGTATTGGAAAACAGGTACAACAGGTATGCTATGACGCTAAGTGATCTTTTAAATACAAATGCATTGACAAGCTGTGACTTTATGGCGTTACGGGTTACGGTTCATAAGGTCGCTTTAAGTTGGTTGACAGTTATTAAATGTCATACAATCGTCAAAATAAATGTAATTTAAAGATCTTTAGAAAGTAAGGTTAGTACCGTCATATGTATGTCAGATCATTTAATTTTTATGTTCTTAGTAGAAATAGTATAATACGCAATTCATTTTGATAAATTCTCTTTAGACACTTAACAAGTCCAAAACAACAAAAAAACAAGATAATTAAAAAAAGTTTACAACTGCCTTAGCGAATTCGAAACTCTACAGAAAATAAAATGTAGTTAAAAAATCTTCAAAGTGGAATTTCTCGTAAATGAATAATTGGACTTGGAATACTGAGGTACAGATATGTACCTATACAATAGGGTGAGCCGAAAAAATTATTTTTTGAATTCAATTTAGGGGTAGCAAAAAAAATTTACCTTATGCCAAAAGTAGTTTGTAAAAAAAAAATTAGCGTACTAGCCCAATATTTAAGGCCCCCCCTGGGCGCCCAAAATATTATTTTTTTATATATTTTTTGGGGTAGCAACAAAAAGTTACATTTTGTTAACAGTAATTCTAGAAAAAAAAATTGCGTTCTAGCCCAATATTTAAGGCCCCCTGGGGGCCCAAAATATTATTTTTTTATATTTTGTTTGGAGTAGCAACAAAAAGTTACATTTTGTTAACAGTAATTCTAGAAAAAAAATTGATTACTAGCCCAATATTTAAGGTTACCCCGGGGGCTCATTTTTTATATTTTAATTGGGGTAGTCACAAAAAGTTACCTTAACAATATGTCTAGAAAAAAAGCCCGATATTAAATTTGACGTCAAAAATTTGTCGGTTTAGCAAATTCTAGGGTTAAAAATGTTTATAAATTTGGAAATGTTTTTTTTTTTAAATAAAAGAACTAAAAATATTTATAAGTCAAGCAGACGACTTCTATATAAGGTTCGGCAAGTTTCCCTTTCACGCGCAAGCGGTGAAAAAGTTTGTGAAGCTTGTAACAGAAGCTGCATTAAAAATTTGCTGTGAGGTAGCAAGAAATGGTTATAACCATATATATATAGATGCGCGGACATCTTTACCGGCCTATATGACAACAAGTCTCAATATTATTTAAATAATAAAAAATACTGGGTGGGAGGGAGCAGATGGAACTCGAGGAGCAAATATCCAATTAATTAATAATAATAATAATAATAATAATAATAAAAATGCTTTATTGCATAAAACACAAAATTAATTACACAAAAGGCTGCGTTCGTAAGGACGTCCTTCCATACCACCTACTAAGAAATTAAATCTGTTTTATTCTGCATATCACATATTAATTAAACTAAATCCTATAATTTCATATCACAACAGTTAATAACAAATTAAATGTGTTTGGATATTGAAATATTATGTTAAAGAATGTTTTATCGTTCAAAATTTTTATAGATAGGTCTATAAACGAATCCTTAGATTTTGAAGTTTTGTGACTAGGTATTTGAAAAAGATTGTGCCTTAAATCAAGATTGTATTTATTGGATCTTTGAATACAGTTGTTGAATAGGTATTCAGGCAATTATTAGGTATTTACTTTCTGTAAGGCTCAATTATTTTTAAATGCTTGTTTTCCAAATAGATTGAAGTAATGGGGTCAAATTTTCCGACTAAATATATGAATCTAATACATGAGTTTATTTTTAAATGTTTCAGTATGATATGAGTAGTAGACTGGCATGCAATAGTCTATAATAGGGTGTATGTTGAAACAATTTTGCACTTGGTGTTAGAATTTAGAACATATTTAAATTAATATAGTGATTTCAGCTTCATATAACACAAACTAAGTTGTCTTGTAACATGGCTTTCAAAGTTCAGGTTTGTATAAATAATAAAAAAAACACCCAGATTTCTTGCTGTTTCTTGCTGAGGTATTTCTATAATATTTATATGTATGGTATTAAAATTATATTGTTTTTTATTTATCATATATACTGTACCAATATTTATTACAAGACCCTTTTTGGCATTTAACTGAAGTCTATGATTAACTGACCAAGCATTTACTTTTTTTAAGACTTTATTTATTTCGATAGTGGTTGTGTTAATTAATTTAGAGTAACGCAAAATCTTTTTTAAATTTAATAAAATCAAGCCAAGAGTTGCTAATTTTTTTTCATCAAAAGGCGTCTTAATAAAATAAAAAAAAAACTTAGACTGATACAGGCATTTGGTTTGTCTATGCAATAATACATGGGGTAACTTTTTGTTGCCATCGCAATTAAAATATATATAGAAAAATTTAGGCCCCCCAGGGCACCCTTAAATATTGGGCTAGAATGGCTATTTTTTTCGAAACATACTGTTAACATGAGGTTACTTTTTGTGGTTACCCCAATTAAAATATGAACAAAAAATATATTTTGGGCCTCCGGGGCACCCTTAAATTTTGGGCTAGTACGCTCATTTTTTTTTTAGAATTACTGTTAATATAAGGTAACTTTTGTGGTTAACCCAATTAAAATATGATAAAAATAAATATTTTGGGCCTCCGGGGCACCCTTAAATATTGGGCTAGTACGCTCATTTTTTTTTCTAGAATTACTGTTAACATAAGGTAACTTTTTGTTCCCACCCCAGTCAAAACATACAAAAAAAAATATTTTGGGCCCCCGGGGGACCCTTAAGTAATGGGCTAGTACGCTACATTTTTTTCTAATAAATTACTTTTAACATAAGGTAACTTTTTATTGCTACCCAAAAATAAATATCTCAAATATTTTTTTTTTTACGTTTTTCGGCCCACCCTACTATACAATCCTATAACTGTTACACAAAGGTTGTAAAAAAAGTTATAATAAGTTAAAATTAAAAAAAAAATAGTTTTGGTTTAATAACTTTCGAACTCTAAAAGATAAGTAAATAAAATTTTGGCATTTGCTTTATTTAGTAATGCTCTAATAGATATAAAAAAATTTTCCGAAATTAAAACTTTAAATTAAAGTTTTTCCACAGGTAAATGAAAGTAACTAGAACGTAATCGAGTATGCCATGATTCAGTTCTAGAAAATGGTAGTTATTAAACACCCTGTAACTTAATAATCCCTTTAAGCATACATCATAAGAAAAAAACTTTTATTTTTTACTAAGGAATTCGCCATTTAAATTCCTCTAAACCTCCAACATTTATGTTATACAGATATAAATTATATAATATAATATCCATTTTACAGGGTGTCCCAGAATATGTGGTCAATCAGTCCAAGTATGAAATTATTTTTGTCGTTCACCAATAAGCGCGCAAATTTCTACGAATTTTTCATAGGCGTGAGTTGTCAGTTTAAACATCCCTTTTGGCAAACCCTTTAGTATGCTTCATGTTAAAAACGATTAAATCACACAAGTATTTTAAAAGTTATTAGAGGAAAAATAGATTTTCCTACTCTTTGATATTATAATCCATTCCTTTATAACACAAAACGTATTGTATTTATGGTTCATTAGAATATACAAACGCTAGCGTGTTTAAAATATCACCCTTAATATAATTACTTTATCACTTTAACGACCAAACCGTATCACTTTAAAAATCTTATAATTATAGCTTCCGAACAATACTATTTTTACTTACTGCAGTGTTTATAATTTTAATGTGCAAAACCATCAATTCCAGTATGCCTAGGCCTGTGATTTTATCCAAAAGTTTCGGGTTCATGGTTAAAAATTTGACTGCGCCATATCCGTATATGCAAGCCTCTGCATCGTCCAAAGGACTTGATCGGCCCAGTGCGTCAAGAAATAATTCTAAAAAAGAATGTTTAAGGAAAAGATATTTTAACATTAAATTATTCATATGTTTTGATAACAATTGGAGTTTGTAAAAATACTTGTTCGTAGAGGTAAATAATTTCCTTTTAATTTTAAGTAAATATTAGTTTACGAACTTCGACGTCTTCAAGGCCTTGTAATAAATAATTTATGTAAAAAAAAAAAAAATAGGACAAGATAGTGAACCGTAAAAAAATATGTAATAATATTTTGAAGTGAGTTTTTAATTTTTTTGTTGCGGATAAACGAATTAAACCATTTTTTTAACAAATAGTGTTTCTAATTAATAGGTATGTAAAATCATTCCAGAAATTTTAAATAAATAGTATATTATAACCATTAATTGATCTTCACTCAACGTTATAACAATATTATTACACTGCGCGTCAAAATAAACGCATAACGAGTAAAAAAAATCCAACTCTAAAACGCCTTTACCAATCTATATAAAATTTTGGATAAAAATACTTTAACTTTAACCCTTTAACTGCCGGCAACGCGGCTACCGCGTTCTTGTGTATTTTACAATATGCCGAGCACGCGGGACCCGCGTTCTGTACGGTGGCATATAGCATTGTTTTTGTCGCTGGGTGCCGCCAACGCGTCTACCGCGTTTGTTTATTGGTTTTTTGTTTTAGTATTTTTTCATATAGAACCTTACGATAAGAAACGATAAACAACTTTTAGTCCATTTTTAGCTAAAATTTCCAAAAAAAAAACATCGGCACTGCAATATGGGCGGACTATTTCGTCGGCAGTGAACGTGTTAACTGAGATATGTTTATTTGTTCAAGGTTTTTTCGTAAGTAATATCATAATATATAAGGGCATTTAATTTTTCCGAAAAAAATCGAAAAAACACGTTGCTAAGTAATATTTTAACAAAAAGCATGAGTGATGGTGGCAACAAAAATCCGAGTCAAAGAGGAGGATTTTTGCACCTGCACGAATGCATTTTGTTAAAACATATTACTTAGCATTGTTTTTTCGATTTTTTTCACAGGAAAAATTAGATGCCCGAATGGTATTTGACAAGACTATTTCATGAGTAACAGTTAACAATTAAAATATGAATTGCAATTTTTGGCGACAACAGCTGTTAAGTTTTGCCGCGGGTAAACTCGAAAAAACTTCTGGCAGGTGCTGCCACACAGTTTTTTTACCAAGAAACCATTTGTAATTCAAAATTGCGCGTTTGTGATTGGTGGAAATTAAGACGAGGGAAATAGTCGAGAAAATATCCTTAAAGCCCTTTTATTTAATAATAAAGAACTCTCGAAAAACAACTTTAGTAAATAAAAAATATGCTGTGGAAGACCGTATTTTTGTTAGTATACCCTGAAAATTACCACTTTTCAGCAAAATAATCAAAAAGGGGTTATTTTTACAGATTTTGAAGCGATGTATCTTCGTTACTGTTCGTTTGATTTGTACAAAATTTTCAGGGTATACTCACAAAAATACGGTCTTTAAATGCTTATTTTTTATTTAGTTAAAAAAAATTCCCTAAAAGTTATTTTTCGAACGTTTTTTTATTATTAAATAAAAGGGCTTTAAAAATATTTCTTGAAAAACCCTCGAACACGTAAACTGAGATATAAGTTAAAGTATTTTTATACAAAATTTCATAAAGATTGGTAAAAACGTTTCAGAGTTAAAATTTTTTACTTATTATGGGTTAATTTTGACGTTAATTTAATTGTATTTACCCAGTAAATTGTGTTGGAAGAATAACTGGTCATTTTTGTCGTTCTTTGAAACTTTAAATATTAATTTGCAGACGCCACTCAAATTATTTCCAGTAACTTTAAGCTAAAATAAAATACCACATAATAAACAATTTAGAGCAATACATGGTGACTTACCGCCAATATAACTTTAGCAATAGCAATTAAAATTCTTTCATCTGTAGACTCGACGAATTTGTACAAAGTTTTTAAAATTTGTATTTTCAATTTTGAGCTTATTTTCCCATCAAACATCTTTTCCTTCTCCATGCATTCATACAGTTCGTACAGAAACCCAATAACAACATCATTGTTGTACTTATAACTGCTCTCTCTATTAATATCATTCAAAACATCGTCCAACGTTCTCGTTTTTGCCTCGACTAAAATTAATTTTTTGTGTATTTTGCGGTTTGAATATGCCGACGGCAAATGGCTGCTAAAATAACCTGTGTTTGCAAAAAGGGTGCCAGAATTTTCTATGATTTGTCGGTTGTCGAACAGTTTTTCCAAGTTTTGTGGTCCCAGCAGCAAACATTCAGATATGCTTTGCTTGGATGGTCTTTCGTATGGCAAATCTGTGCCGAAGTCTGTACGTTCTTGAGGTGAGCTGAAAGCGTTTCTCGAGTCTGATACCCTTTCGTTTTCTTCAGGTACTAAAATGATATCTTCTGTAAAATATCAAATTCAAAGGATTGTGTTTTGAAGTCTGGTAAACTGCTGTGCTGTGAGCATAATATATAATTTATTTTAAGGTTTTTGATATTTTTTATTATTAGCTGTATCTGGCTTAACATTCTTAATCAGTGGCGGCTCGTATAAATCTAAGAAGGTAGTGTCATAATGTTGGCAGATGGTGCAAAAGCAAGTTTCTTTACAACCGCACAACCAATTTTTTTTGTTATAAATATTTTTATTAAATTTTCGACAGCTGTACACTTCTTTTTTCAGTTTTTAAATTGGGTAGTATACCTATAAGGTATCATATATGATCCTATAATAGCCGGGCTAATTTTTTAAATTGTATAGCGAATAAGTACCAAAAGAGTTTTTACAATTTTATCCAATTTCGCACACTTGTTTATATTTAAAATCGCCAAAACACAAACATTTATAAATTAGATATACATAGATATATTTAATTAAGCAATGTAATAAACAAAACTTTAGAAAAGGCCCAAAATATTATACGTGTTATAGTTATTTTGAAAAAAACACGGCTTTACCCAACAGAAAAGCTAAATAAAGAAGCGGAATTATTTATTATTAGAAAATTATACGTATATCAATCTATTTTATGGATAAAGTTTCAAAAAGTTAATAAAACACCATCTTTTGTGACTAGACAACAAAATTTACTTGAAATACCTTTTTGTACTATTTTTTGCTCCTAAATTTTACAGTTTACTGCCAAAGGATATAACAAATTACAAAACTTTTAAAACAGAGCTAAAACGTTATATTAACCTCAATGAATTTAGGTTTTTAAAAATCATTTCTGACTAATCTCCTGCAAGTTGCTAATTTTAAGTATTTTTTTTCTTTTTTTTGTAATCTTCTCTATAATTTTAATATATTATTTTGGCAACAATGTATCGTCATATCTCTGCAATAAGTCACTACCTAACATTTTATTATTGAGCTTAAAGATAAAATAAATAAGTAAATAAATATATCCATCCAAAATCCAAAATCTGAGCATCTAATGGCTTTTAAATATTATTATCTTAAAATGTATAATGGGTTGCATACAATACTCGTATTAAATCGGCAGTAAAGTTCTACTTTACTGCCGATTGTTGACTACTTTACTGCCGATTTCGGATAAATGTAATTTTTATGATGTAATTAGTATTTTTGAAATGTTAATAAAGTTGAATAGAAATTTAATAAACCGCTTAAACATAAAGAATGTCAAATCAAACGACCAAGTCGAGTCGCTTGGCCTGGCACAATCTCTCCTTTGATTTTACCATTCGTCATAATATTAAGATAGCCCCATCTCCGTCGCTCGTAAAATCTCTCTTTTCATTATTGCCTAAATAAAATTGACACGCATTTGCATTTCCAAATCCGCACGGTTGCCATAGATACTTCATATAACTTATGAATATAAAAAGAAACGCATAAAATTAAATATGCATAAAAATAAAATATTTTTTTTTTAGAAAAATAAGTTGGTGCAATGGCAGTGGCACTACCTCACGAGCCGCAACTGTTCTTAATAGAGTTAAATCTTGCTTAAATTTACCGCATTTTATAAAAAAACATTTTAATCTGTTAAAAACAGTATCTTTAAATAATTTCGACTAAATATTGGAATTATGCAGGACCATTATTAAAAAAATAAGAAAATATTTTTATCTACTCCTACATTGAAGAGCTGTGACTTTATGGTGTTTTAGTCACGGGCTGAAGTTAACAACATTGGCTTTTGGGCATTTTAGTCACGGGCTGAAGTTGGCGTTATTATAAATTGCAAAAAAGTGAGGTTAAATTTGTATCAAATAAAATTGGCTTTAAATTCAGTTTTGTGTTTGTCGTAGATAAAGTATAGTATGCAACTCGTATATAAACTTCTTTAGACACTCGTTTTTATTAAATAATCGCTCGCAAGCTTTGCTTGTGCTTAATTAAACTCGTAACTAAAATGGCGTTTATAAAACTTGATACATAATTTACTATTAACTTAAGTATATAATATAATACTTTTTAATTTTTAGTTTATTTAATGTTTATTATTTATAAGACTAACTATAGGAGATACTTGTTATTTCACGAGGGCCTCAATTTGTGAACCATTTTGTTTAAAACTAATAAAATAAACTTTCAATTTTGCACTCCTAAATAAGAAACTGACCTTGGTTTGCAACACCAAAGTTACTCGTTTACCAGACTTACATAAATATTTTACTTGGAACTTTATCCTTACAATTATCCAAAGACGTGTTACTTTTTTTGAACAACTTCCTTTTAGTCAATGGCTTCGATTCCAGCGATGGTAACTTGACTGTATGCAAGGATTCCTTTACTCCAATGTTAAATATGCTTTCATTGATTTCCGATAGCGAACTCGATCTATGGTGTCTTGTTGTGGGAGCTTGATATGATGGTGGTTTTTGCGTTTGCGATTTTAATGATGATGGAGAAAGTAGGGACGTTTCTGGCGGGGTGGTTGGTAGATCGGTTTCGTTTTGAAGATATCGTAAACTAAAATGAACAAACACACTTACAAAGATTTTTGATTGATTAGGGTTTTGGTCATACAATCTCTAGCCTAATCCTTTTAATTTTATGAAGGAAGCAGAAACAACATTACTCTAATCAACTAATTGCCAATTACAATAAAATTCTTAATTAACTAATTGATTGTTCCTGGATCCTAAATCCTTTGGGGATAATAGTGAACTAATATAAACAAAGAGAGCGTAAATGTTTGATAAAGTGACCAAATCAAAAACATACGTTACAAACGAAAAGCACACTTTTAAACAAATTTGTCACGAAAGCATTGCTACGTTGCAATTTATTATCCATTGTTGTCATTTCAAACAATGCGAAAGTGGGTCATCTATTGATGTAGGTAACTATGAAATGATCCATTTATTTTTGGAAAGCAATTAATTTTTTTTACAAAAAAATCGATACATTTAAATTGAAACCACGATCTAAATATGTGTATAAATATAAAGGGTTTTCGAAAAATCTTCTGTTTGATGAAAATTAAATTTTCAAGAATGTTTTTTTTCCTTGAAATGTTAAAAAGTCTTAGGATGGTTTGATAGGAGTTAAATCGCAACTAATCGGTGGCCAATTTTGTACTCCAAAACGCACTCCTGTTAAGTAAGAACACTGTGAACTACTATCATAAGACGATTCTATACCCAGAGGAAAAAAAACAACAATCCATGGTATTTGTAAATTTTAATTCCATTACCTTAATAATAATAATTATTAAACGTGTTTTGATTTCAAATTCAGAAGAACGACTTTCCGTTTTCTCATGAATACGAGGTGTGTTCAGAAAATAACGGGAATTGTTAAATTTCGTGGGTTCAGAGGGTCCGGTTGTCATAAAATTTTCTTTATTATGTTGCTATACATGCCCTCGAAGTATGATCAAAACTTTAGCTGTTTTTTCATTGTTTACTTTGTCTGTGGCAGCCGCTAAGGTTAGACGTGTTTTATGAGCTCGGCGATTTTTCGTTCGTTAAAAGAAATGGATTAAAGAATTTGTATCCAATTTTGCTTAAAAAATGAAATAAATTCTGTGAAATGTTAACAAAGCCCTATAGTGAGTCTGCTATAAGTAAAACAAAAGTTTACAAGTGGTATAAGAGTTTTCAAGATGGCCGTGAAGACGTTGAAGATGACGAACGCCCCGAACGCACAATCACATTAACAACCGATAAAAACATGGAAAAAGTGGAACAAATGGTTATAAACCATCAGAGAAGTCGCTGATGATGTTGGTATATCGATTGGCTCATCCCATGTTTTGGGTATGAAACGCGTGCCAGCAAAATTTGTTCTAAAATTGTTAAATTTTGAACAACATTGTTGGCCAAAAACAATACTGTAATGATCCCCCAGCCTCCATATTCGCCAGACATGCCTCTGTCTGACTTTTTCCTATTCCCAAAAATAAAGAGAACCTTAAAGGGCCATCGTTTTGCAAGCATAGATGACATTAAAAGCGCATCGCTGAAAGAACGGCTATCCCAAAGATCGAGTTTTAGAAGTGTTTCGAGTATTGGAAGAAGAACTGGCACATGTGCATAATATACAATGGGGACTATTTTGAAGGGGACAACATGAATGTAGACGAATAAATCAATATTTGTTTCAAAAAACGAAAAATCCCGATATTTTCACACACCTCGTATTAATTATTTGGTGGATTTGTTTGCTATTTTTGAGTTTTGCTTAAATTTTCTTTCAAATAAAAGTATTAACTTTAAATTTATTTTTTGTTGGATTAGCTTTAGCTAATTGAACATATTTTCGTAAAAAATCAATCAAAACTTTTTAGTATCTTTGGATTGGTGGAGACCATCCGAAATATCATGGATTATTTAAGCACTTTCACGCTGTTTTACTGTTATGTTACAAGTAAACTTTAATTGGCGCATTTCACGTTCCACCCGTTATCAGTTTAAATAACATTTTCTAGACACATTAGAGGGATATATTTGAATTACATATCGATCGTTGTGAGAACAATGGAGATTATCAGCCAGATAACTAACTGCAACTTTAACCGGACATTGATAAACCGGCCCTCAGTCAAATATTTAATATACGACTAAAATGACGATATAGTGCGATAGGAATTCCATAATGTAGGTATTAAGATATTAATTAATGTTCTAGATTTCATATTAAGATTCCGTGAAAGGTTAAAGAATTATAAACATTGCAATGAGTTACACACGATACTTTTATTTTTGTATTTTATCCGACAGGTGTAAATAATTTGTTCATTATAAGTAATAATAATTCTAATTATTTTTAGACACTTTTGGGGCAGTTTAATTATATTATCTATAATAAATTACATATTACATACATATTATGTGTCATCTAATTTACGTATGTTTTACTTTACCTAAACGAACTTGGTGGTCTGTTGGTTTTTACTTTTTTTCCAAAAAGCAATCTTTCCTTGTCCCTTGGAGTGAATGGTCTTTGAGTTTGCAATGGTTTAATTGTGGTGGGTGCGAAGGTATTTTCAACCATTTGCGATTCTGGAATTAAAGTTTATTAATTTTATTTTTTAAGTAGATTTTTTTTTCAATTATATATCTAAAAGAATTATTAGTATAATATAAAAATTTGTCACAGTTTACAAAAACTATCTAGTGTTTACATTTACGTGAAAAATTAGTAAACATATACTTTTACTGGTAAATACGAACATTTACTAGGGAATGCATACGTTTACTACAAGCATCAAGTAAGTAAGTTAATGTGTAAATTTCCTAAATTTAATTCCATAAACATATACACTGACTAGATGTTTTGATACTTGATGTATTCATAAGCTCATTAACTTACTTATTTACTGCATGGTATATGTATACATTAACGCCATAAAGGTAGCAAAAGTGTACATTAACTAAAACTAATCAACCCAACCAACAAAACCAACCAACCAACCCAACCAACCAGTATTAGTTTATGTACACTTCTGAAGGGCGTCAATGTATACATCTACTAGTACTTACATAAGTAAGTAAGTTAATGCTCTTCTGAACACATGCATTTACACAAAATCAGTTATTGTACACAAAAGCTAGTCAGTGTAAACATTTACGGAGTTTACACATTGTCTGTAATGTGATTTTTTCTAAAACGGTTTAAATTTTGGTAAACATTTTTGACACTTACCCCCTTTCCCTATTTTAAGGGGCGGAGGGTTAACTTTGGATTTTTAATAGGGTAAAGTACATTAAAAAAATACCAATTTACGAAAAAAACTAGGTACCTATGTGTGCAAAGAAATTTTTGATTTGCGCTTTCGCTTACGGAATTACGATTTATTAAATTATAAGATAGGTACTAAAAAATATTAACAATTTAATTTCAACTAATTTATCGTCTTGGCAAACTGGCAACTTCCAAACACTTTCTCACTCTTTTTCTAAATGAATTTCGTCCACTTAATAAATAAATTAAAATTATTTTTTAGTATCTTATAATCTAATAAATCATAATTCAGTAACGGAAAGCGTAAATTAAAAATTGCACACAAAACTACCTAGTTTTTTCGTAATTTCTGTTTAAAAAAAGGACAACATCCCTATTAAAAATCCAAAGTTACACCCTTTATAAAGTTACAACACAATCAGTAATAAAAAATAAATTCTTTCGTAAAATTAAAAAATTGCAGTTTTTTGTCTCTTCTGAAAAGTTTTGCTTTTGTGAGATGTACATCTTAAGGTATCGACATGCTGGCCCGCTAATGTTTTAAATTTGGCATAAAGGCTTAAAAATATTATTACCTATTTATATTTTGCCTAAATAAATACAATTTTGTGACGGGGTTAGAACTGGTAGCATCTAAACCTCTGACTTGTTGTTATAAATCGTGGATTGTGTTTCAAAGGGGGGCCAAAATCACGAAAAAATATTTGAGTTTGATTTGTTATTTTATGCTCTTTCTCGTCATCAATTTAAAATTTGATTTTTTTTTGGAAGAAAATTTTATGTTAAAAATGGCTTCTATCGATGGTTCTCGATCTCTACACTAAAGAAACGGCTTCCGCACATTGGGGCAAACAATTGCTCACAACAGTTCCCGAATTTCAGCAGACTACAAGACCAGCAAGGATAGGTCCTAGCAGCGTACTAACCAACCAAATCTCATTCACCCCAAATGAATGGGGGCATTACTAAATCCCTGGTTGAGGGGAATTGTACTTAGTTTTGGTTTAGTCTAATGTCACACAAAAAGTTTTCCCTGCTTGCCTCGCACTCCACTAGCCCAAAACGGGCGTATGGTCCGGCCCGGCGACAAAATTCCGAGAGCGGCCTTAACCATCGACACTGTCGTCCACGACCTTCTAGATTTACCAACCGGGGTGAAAATTCCGATCCACCAAACACAGGTAATGGTGTGCAGTGGCGAAATACATATGAGAACTGATAGGGGGTAAAATAACCCTGGGAGATCATTGTAAGGCGTTGCCGATGGGGCCATAAATAAATAAGATTTTGTAACGAGGATAGAACTGGTGACCCTCTTTGTTAAATCGTAAAAATCTCGAAAAGAATATTTGAGTATGATTTGTAATGTTATGCTCTTTGTTGTCGTCAATTTAGTGTTTTTTTGGGTAAAATTTTTGGTTGACCGCAGACATGCCTATGAAGTCACAATCCACGATCGTATTATAATATTAATACTTTTAACATACAAATTTTGCGGTCTTTAGTCAAAATTTTATTTCCCAAACAATTGTATATAGCAATGCGAAAAAATATACAGGGTGTTATTTATAATTTTAGGGAGAAGGGCTGCATTTTTAGGGGTGTCTTTTTGTAAAAAAATTTAATATTGCTTTAAAGCTATCAATATAGTTTTTGTTTTGCTGAAATATCTTAAACGGTTGAAGAACTAGGGCCTGACTACATCAGTTTGGGACTCCCTGTATAGTTTAGGTTATTAAACAAGAGGTATCTTTACTTTGTTAAATTAATTATTAAATCGTGCTTCCCAATAAGGTTCATTAAACTAAAAACAGTAGACATTACATTTAGCCGTATAAATTACTTATTTGTAGACCACACCTATTAGTATAGGCGTGGAAGTTAAATATTAATTAAAATTTTAAGGTAAAAACATCTTGTATGCTTGACATGTCATGTGCACATTTTGTGTTTATTTACTTTTACCAAAATAATTTGTAAACAGCTAAAAAATTGTATTAGTTACAAGTTAATAATTATTCCTTTGTAAAGTCCTTAAAATTATACAGTAGGTATGTCCCCGGATTGAATTTAAAGGAGGGACTCAATAATTGTTTTATTTTTAATTTTTTCAAGAAAATTAATTCCTGATTAAAAGTGATGATCGTCGAAAAAAACATTGACATAAAATAATGGGATTTTATCTAAAACATAAAATCCATTTATGAGAGAAGTACCTTTATTTTTAACTTTTTTTAATATTTTATACGTCGTAATTTTTGTATTTAGACTTTATAAACACACCTTTTTAATATACCCATTTGACTAATTTTTTAACACCCTGTAGATAAAATCGCAATTTTCTTTGACCAAATTTTTTTTTTAAAGAATGGGGTTTCTTAAAAAAAACAGAAATAAAAATGTGTTTCCTTTTGTAAACTCAATCCGGGAAGATACGGTATAAGTAAAATAACTTTTTAAATTTATTTAATAGTTTGCAAACTTACCTTTAATAGCCAAGCGAGCTTCATTTATAATTTCAGCGCTTGTTTTTCTTGGCGGCGGCTCATAGAAGGGTAAAGAAATCTTGTTTATACCCGCTTGTTTCATTCCTTTCTTTTTAATATCCATTTTTAAATAAACAACCACTACTCCTTAATTTTAAATCATCATAAACATTTGTAACTCAAACGTAAAAGCAGTTCTTCATCGTCCAAATATTTTAAATAAGTGATGTCGCGTTTCAGCATGGAAAACTAAATTCAACTAAAAGCAAACTACCGAGAATAACAAAAATATCGATTATTTCTGGGAATTAGTAATGTGGACATGCAACAGAAAACGGTCGTAGAAAAAATCAATATCACCCCGTCTAATAAACTAAAATAATGTCATTGACACCTGTCTTACTAAAAAGATAATTGTCAGTTTGAGTTCACTGGGTCGCGACCAAATTAGGGTCTGTAATCGGGTGATGGAGTACTGGCCCGTTAGAAAGGTCTCAAATCTATATCCTATGCCAATTATATACTTGAACCATTTGGGAATTCAAATTAAGACATTATTTTTAGGAACAGAATTGGAAAGTAAATTTATTAATTCAATTAGTTAGTTCCTTTTTATCAAACTCAAATATTATTGGAATTAAATAGTTTTTTTTGATTACAAGTTTACCATATTAGGTAATAATAGTATTGTTTAGGTAAGGTATTTTCAGAGGATAACAGTAACACCCAATGTTTATTTATATGTATGTAGATATGCATCATTTTACCGAGATTGAAATTGTTCTGAGATAAATACTAATGCATAAAATTAACCTAGATAATATGACCACTGCAGTGCCTAATATTTATTTAATGCGCACACTAAATTGTCTTGCAGTCAAATAAATAATGATCATATGTAGCTACTAAATTCTTAACCATGTAAATTATTTAACACGACTTAACACGAATATTTACTTATTTTAAAACACCAGAAAATCCTTGCTCAATTTGCAGATGGCAGCAGAAGCTAATGTTTTGAGTCTAAAGTTTCTTTAGTCAATATTACTCTACATATGTTTTTCACCACTAGATGGCTTACACTATAAATTAATTTATTGAAATAATACCTTTTTGTCGTTATATAACTTTATTGAATCATTTACAAATTAAAACATCATTGCTTATCTAAATTTGAAACAACTTCAAACCATTGTCTCAAAGCGTCACTTAAAACATTTGGTAACGAATTTATATCTCTTAAAATAATGTAAAATGAAAAAGGAAACACGTCCATATACGTCTGTATGCCAAGTAACTTTCCGTCTTTAAACACTGGCATTCTAATGTCTAATATCGAGTTTTTATTTTCGGGGCTGTCAATGATAACGAATACCATAAAGATGTTGGATAGTTTCGCTCTTCTTACAGCTTGTCGTACAAAAGTTTCTCCCTCGGAAAATACGCCTCTTCCGTCACTCACTATAACAAGCAACTTTGCGTTCAAAGCTGACGAATGCATTTGAGATTGATTGAACATTTCAGTGGAGAAATCAACCAATTTGGAAATGCAAGTTTTATTTTGATCAAACTTAAATTTTTGCAGTAACTTTACCCCGCTTTTCTCTGTAAATTGGTCCGCCAGCTTGTGAACAATCTCAGTATTTTCGCCAAAACTTAGAATAGATAGCTGACCGCTTTCTAGTAAAGTTAATGCTTTTGAGATTAACGCCACGCTTTCAAATGCTATTTCTTTGGAATGGTTGTCAGCCATACTGGAGGAATCATCAATGGCCAACACTATCTGATACTCTCTTTTCGATGGTTTAGTTCTCCTCAGCCAGATTTTGTCTTTTCTAAATTGTGAGGCAATGTATGGAATAACTTTCCTCATATTAATTCTTCTACCGGTTCTAAAATCTCCTTTAAGCCTACTGGCTAGAGTGGGCTCTAGTACAAGCCTTAATTGTTCGGATAAATCTTGGGCTAAACTAGATGTAACCGATGAAATTTTTTGCCATGTTTGTTCGGCTTCTAAATTTGTTGGCGGCTCATTCCATGCTGATAATTGTTTTTCTACATCGGTTCTTAGTGCGTTTATTTCCTCGATTGTTAACCTTTCCGCTGTATTTTCAGATAAATTTGTAAACTGAGTGTGATGCGTAGTTTCGTTGCTTCTTAAAACGGTTGATGTTTCAACAACATCCCCTTCTACGTCAATGTCTTTCATATCATTTAAAATATCACCTGCAAAAAATGTAAACTTTATAGTAAAAATATTAGTATAATAATTGTTTTCCTACCATCTGGGTGTTGCTGCTTTTTGGATTTCTCATCTTTAACACCATCAGTTTTTTCAGCCTTTGCATTTTCCACTTCAGGCATGTCTTCGTCCTTATCCTCATCTTTAGGCAGTTCGGTTTGAGACTCGGTTGCTTCTTCACCGACTTCTTCTTCTTCCATGTTGGGTATTTCCTTTTGCTGTGCTTCCGCTTGTTCTTCAGTAGCGGTATCCAAAACTTGAGTCGATGATTCCTTAGCGTCTTTTATATGCTGATACATTTCAGCCGTATCTTTTTCTTCGGGATTTTGATCGTCATCCTGTCCATCATCGGTGGCCTCGACTGTTTTAAGCTTTTTCTTTGTTGGTTCGTTTGTGTCACCCAGACTTCTTTGATTGTCACTTTCGCCAGGTTTCTGTTTCTTTATTTCGTTATCTTCGCGTTCTCTTTTCAGCGATTGCGTTTCTTGGGGAGCGCTTGTTTGTGCTGAATGCCCGGTTTTGCTTTCTTCCATTTGAGATTGACCAGTACCATCTTTATCGGGATTATCTTCCTGGCATAGTTCTTCAATTGGTTGATTGGATTTTTGATTTTCCATTTGAGTACTTTGCGTTTTATCGGCCGATTCTGATTTATCGACATCCATTGCCTCAACATTTTCTTCATTAGTTGCTGTCTGATCCAAAGCCGATTCTTCATTATCTTCTTTTTCTTCCTCTTCATGCTTATTTTCTTCTTCTTTTTCAACTTCACCTTCATTCATACCCGCCTCTTCTTCCTTTTTATCCTCTTTATTTTCATTTTCAACTTCTTCATGGAACTCATCATCGTTATCTCCATTCTTCTCAGTGTCATCTTCATCATCGCTACTAAAACTAGTGGCTTCATCATTTTGTTGTTCCTCATTGTTTGTTTTATCTTCCTCCTCTTTATCTTCGGGCACATTGTCTTCCTTCATAGCATCAATATCGAAAGGATTTTCTTCTTGATTATCGTCATTCTTTTCTTCGCCATCGTCCAACTGAAGATCATCTGGTAAATCCATCGGTTCTGGTTCGGGCAATTCAGGTTGATTACCATGGTAGGGATCGTTTTGCTCATCATCATACTCTGGTTCTTCCATTTCATTAATGTCTTTTTTGGATTTTTCTTTTTCTTCCCCTTCTTCATTCTGTTCTTGTTGTTCATCTGGTTTATTAGGTTTATCTTCTTTGGCTCCAAGTTGATCTTCACCTTCCTTTTCACCCTTGTTGCCCTGTTCTTCTTTTTCTTGCGATTCTTCCTCATCACCTTCATCCTCATTAGCTTCTTCTTCTTCATCACCCCAAATTTCCTGATCCAACTGATCGGCGCCTTTTTCAGTTTCACCCATTTGCTCATTGGCGTCTGAATCATCAGACTTACTTTCCTCATCGTCTTCAGCTTTCTCCTTATCCTGCAACTTGCTGTCAAAGTCTTCGCTCATTTCTATACCCTTATCTTCTTCTTTGCAGTCTTTGTCTTCCTCTTTTTGTTTTTCCTGGCCTGCAGGTTGCGCATCGTCCAGTTGATCTTCGGATTCAATTTTATCGGAAACGTCCCTTTCTCCTTGACCTTCACCTAAACCCATACCATCGGTTGGTTTATTCATTCCTTCACTATCCATTTCATCGGAAAGCTCGGGGGGAACACAAAAACCCTAAAAATTTATAATTTGTTATTATTTCTTTAATAATGCATATTATGACTACTTACTCTCTGTGCCAAATCAATGAATATATTTAACAAAATGGAATTCATTTTGCAGCTCACTCTGTAAGCCGATACTTCTTGTGTTATAAAGTATTGATACAACAGTAGAATCTGTTCTAAAATTGGTAGGCTTTGTTTTACCAATTCTCTTAGTTCTTTTGTCTCTTCAGGAGAATTTGAGAATAAAATTGAAGCAATTTTGTGAGTGGCTTTCAACACCCTTTTCATTTCTAAAAGAGCAAAGTCAGAGGAAAGATTTTCCACTAAATGTCCTTTTAAAAGATCTTCAGTCAACTCCAAATCTTCCTCATCATCTGCATTTGGCGGCTCCTCTTTATCTTTGTATTTCTTATAAATCCCCTGCATAGCAAGTAGCATTTTTTCTGTGTATTTTTCAACATCATTTTTATATGATTTCGCATCTTTACTTTCAGTTATATCATTTTGCAAAAAATCATGCTCTATTTTATTTAATTCAGACTTAAGCCACACTAAGCTGTCAGCCAATGGAATGCCGTTAAATACTTCAATAAGTTTATCCAATTTTTCAGATATTTCAGTTATAAGTTCATTAAGGGTATTGGTAGTTTCTCCAACGCAGACAAATTGAGGATAAACCAAGTCATATTCGCAACTTGGAACATGACCAGTAAGTTTTGAGAGACTATTCGCTAATTTACCAACAATATTTATAATGTCATTTAACATTTGAGAAGTTTTTGTCCACAGAGCGTCATGTTTTTCTTTTATAAAGTCTTTAGTGTTCACTTTTAATGTCGGTATTTCTACATTATCGTCCCCTATAGCATCTTCAGGGCATGAATTAAGAATAATTTTGTATTGATTGGCAACAATTATTATATTTTTTAAAAGATTTTTAAGGGTTTCGATTTTATTAAGGGTTACAAAGTTTTTGGCTTCGCAAAAATCGTTCATTTGCTTTAGATAGAATCTCAAGTAATAATACATGCGGCTGGTGTTGATTAGGTCAGTTTTTTGTTTGTGTGATAAATTCTGAAAGTAAAATTATTAGTGGGTCTTTTTAAAATTATAATTAAAAACTTACCAAAAGATGGGAGGTAAAACCTTTACATCTTTCTATATTTTGCACTCCCAAATCCTTGGCAGGATTTCTTAGTGCATTTTCCAGAATTTCTGTCCTCATTAAACAACGAACATAATATACTTCACAGGCATTCCAAATTGTTAAAATCTTTTCTTCTTTTCGGCTAAAATAACAACAAATAATTAACATTAAGCTAACAATTAGAATAACCAGATATTACCCATGATTAATATTACTAAAGTTGGCAATCAAATCGATAGGTTTAATTGTAAAATCGCTAGATAACTTTTTCAGCTTGGCTTCAATTATTCCAGTTTTAAATGACAAGCCTATTTTGCTTAAGGTTTTGAATAGGTCCGCTAAAGCCCTGTGTTTTTGTTGCAATATATTTTTAGCCTGCGATTTTTGCTTTTCCTTTGGTAAGGTAGAATCTGCTTCCAAATTTTGCAAGTGAGTGCTTCTTTCTATAATATCGGTAACAAAGCTATCCAAGTTTTGTATTAAAGTGGGGTATTTGGTCGATAAAATTGTATCCTTACATAGTTTTCTAGATTTTAGAAAGTATGTATCTATTTTGCTTAAAATACCTTCTTCAATGGTTACATCGGTACTCGAAATCTTTTTAGTTAGAGATTGTTTTGTTACATACGCATCAACGTCTAACGTGTAGTGGTAAGTTTTAGGGTTTTGTCTTTGCGGGCGATCCCAAATACCAACGTTTTCGGTCGTATTGTTTGTGCTATTTACCAAATAAGTGCAAACTGGTTGATTTAAAACATCCTTGTACTCTCTGATATACTTGTGTAGAGTTCTATGAGACTTCTCTACAGTTTCTTTAATAGCCCAGTAGTTTATATCCTTCCATCTTACAATTTTAACATAATCTTTTAACTTTTTCTCAATGGGAGACCGGAGATCCTTTAACTTTGTTACAATTGCACTATCAAATTGATTGTAATAGCAATACAAATTCCACAAGACATTAATAAACTCCTGGGTTTGACTGGTTCTTTCCAAATAAACCACATGAGATTGGAAAACGTACAGCAACTCTAATCTGCTATGGAACTCCGCTAAACTGGATTTGACAATAAAGTTTTGCAAAGTATCTATCAACTCTTCAGTGGTAAATTTACTTTCAACAATAAACTGCTGCATAATATTGTACATGTAAAGCCACCATTTGGCAACGGGGGCATTCATTTTCTCGTAGGTTTTATTGAGTAAGTCTTTCCACATGCTCAGTTCTAATTTTCGCCAGGTGATTATTTGTTGCGTTATATTTGGAGTAAATTGACTTAAACTAACACCAGAGTGAGCCACTTCCTCCCATTCGTGACATTTGCTGAGCAGAATTTCGAAACCAGTTAGGAATCTTGAAACTGGACTGGTTAAATCGAAGCTGTATATTCTATCTATTAAAACAATAATCTAAAAGAAATTTGAATGTATAAATAGTGAAGATTAAACGGCAACTTTGATAATTTACCGATTTTAAAGTTGGCTGCTCAGACCATTCGTCTAAGAGTTGGTTTATACGAATTTTTAATTCTTCCAGAATATGATAAGAGGATTGTATTTCTTTAACATTTGAATCTTTGTAAAAATCGTAGTTATGCTTATTCAGAAGTTTTAGTGGCGATGATTGTTCACCTATAATAAAAATAACATTATCATACTTTTACAACATCAGAAATTGTCTATGCACTCACCCAAATAACTCGTATCACCATATCTTTGAGCTACACTAACTAATACACTCAAACTTCCAGTCAATTTGGTATCCATGGTATAATCCAAACAGTTTTTAGAGTTGTTTAACAACAGTTTAAACAACTTGAACTTCTCTAAAAGAGGATGCACAAAATCGTAAGTGACGCTTTTATCAACTGAAGGGTTTAACCATTCTGATTTCGTAAAGTTTTGTACAAGAATTTTATGAAGTTCTACAACAAACTTAAGGTCTTCTTCTTTTAATGCAAGTAATTCTGATTCTTGCGATTTTTCTTCCAAATCATCTGAAAGGTCTTTCTTTTGGAAATCGCTGAAATCTTCATCATGATGACTTGGGAATAGTTCTCTTAGTTCATCTTCTATTTGCTCTTCTTCGGGTTTATCGTCACATTTTGTCCTAAAAATAAAAAGAAATAGAAAAAATCAAAACACTTGTTTGGTACATACTTAGTTTTGTACAAGCTTTCAGCTTCCTTCTTCTTTTCTTCCTTGTCCTGCTCTTCCAGGTTCCAAGCAGTAACAAAATGGTTTACCAAAGTATGAAACTTCATAAAGGATTTTTTATCCAAGTTATGTTTCGTTTTTGCCTCAATCACACAGTTGTTAAATGCTTCATGGATTCCACATTTTAAAAGTCTTATTTTCTCCAACTTTAATACAAAATTGTTATCCACGTTTTCCAATTCTGCTGATATAAAGTTTTTAAACTTAGCTTCTGTATAATTATCTATTTGCCTCTCCAAATTATTTTGTTTTTCATTTAAAGAAGGCAGAGCAACCAAATTCTCCATAGCTTCTTGCAAATTAACATTTTGTTTCGTATTCTCATACTCCTTGATTAATTTCTTTAACAAATTAATTTTTAATTTGAGACCGTATAAAAATTCCGTCACATCGCTCAGCAAAGGTTCCATAATATCGGGGAAAGTCGAACGAAAGTTTCTCCATTCGTATAAAAGATTTTCGTAACTGATTATTGATGACTCATATTGATTTAAAGTTTTTGTGCATTTACTCAAATCCAGGTCAGAATTATTTTGTAGAATTAAATTTATACAGAAGTTTAAGTTTTTAAGTTCTGCTAGGACATATTCGTTGGAAAGGATTGTGGAAAACGAATGATGAACCATCTAAAAATATTTTTTTGTTTATTTTAAAAGGTTTTGAAAGAAAAAATACTTTAAAATGAGCTTGAAGAAAGCTTTTCTCACAAGTGAAACACAATGTTTTTTCTACGACCCATTTATTTTTTATTATTTTCAAATACAAAAAAAAACAAAGTGTTTGACAGACCTGTCACTTTTCACACAGACCTGTCACTTTTTACACAGAAATGTCACTTTACATTCGTGTTTTGCCTTGCCAATGAAAAGATTCATTTTCTAAGCAACGATGCAATTACGACATGTGACTTTTCATAGTGGTCGTAGAAAAAACCTATTGTTTGATACTTTCCACCATTTCCAGTCTATTTTTTTTTTAATTTATAGACGTGTTAATTTTTACTTACTTTGTAAACACTTTCATATAAAACATTTTTGGATCTGACAGCCACATATTTGCCAAGATCTGTGTTTTTAATCTCCAACTTTTTTATCATTGATTTTATCGGTTGACTATAGGAATGTAGGTCTTTATTTTCGGAAAATACGTCGCTTTGTAGACGCAAAGCTTTTCCAATATCCTGAAAAAAGGTAATGGACTCTAAACAATATTTCTTCTTAATTGCTTTTTTAGCTAATGGGTCCACTAATGGCAAATTTGAATTAAACATCATTTGTACGTAGTTTAACTCCATAAACAAATCCGAAATAATTAACAATTTGTTGTTAAAATTGTTATCTTTGCCCAGTAGTTTACTATTTTTAATGCAGTTTTCCAAATGGTAAACAATTTGTTGTACTTTTAAATTGTTTTTGTATTTTCTTAGTAATACTAAACAAAGTTGCAAAATTTCTTCAGGTGATTTATCCATGTCTACATCAAGAGATAGTCCAAATTCTTTAATAAAAGTTTTAAATCTAACCAGTACGTAATTTGTTTCCGATTTCCTAAAATAACACAACTATTTATAAATGTATAAAGAAAATAAAAAATACTCACAAAAAATCATAATTTTCACTATTAAGCTGCATAATATTACTCCACAAAGTACCATTTAACATCTTATGCTGTTTTTGTAGCTCTCTAAAATTACCCAGGTTTGTATTGAAATTATTACCCTCTAGATTTACCAAGAAGTGGTTAAAATAGAATGTCAAAAACGGTGTAAAATTGGTTAAACTTATATCCAGCTCTTCTGTTTGCAAAAATTTAGACGGTTTAATATAGGCGGAGTTCATGATATACGTATTGTAAACTCTTCTTATTTCATGAAGATATCTGTTGTCTTTTTCAGAGGAGTATCTTTGGAGCAAACCCATTAACTCCAAAGGTGTTAATAATGTTTTAGTTATTGGTTCTACGGTTTTTTCTTCTTGTATTGTTCTTATGTTCAATCTTGTTTCAAGTTGATTAAAATAGTCTTTGAAGGGTAGAACTTCCAAATCAAATTTGTTGATTGATTCGGGTTTATTTTCTTCATAGTTATCATGCAGATGTTTTAATAATGTAATTTGCTTTGATACGTCGGTAAAATCAAAATTTAATTCTTGTTTTACGTCTACTAAAGTTTCGTATAACTCTTTGTCGGTTTTTAATATGGACAAAACTTTCATTAAATCATTTCTTCTATCAAAATAGTTGTATTTATCCGAAATATCGTTGAACACTGGAACCACTTCTAGCTGATGATCATTTATAAATGGTGGTGGTCTGTTATTGTGTTTGTTATAGTTTTTGCTTAATTTGTTTAAGGAAGAAAACTGTTTTTCCAAATTACTATTTATGGTGGTTGTAATTTCCATAATCTTTGCATTTAAAGGTGTTTTCACAATTTCTGACAGTCTTTTTATGGAGTTCTTAAAGAACCATTTATAATGCATCAGTAAGTTTGCTAGCATGCTGTAATAATCGGTTGAGGAAATATTTTTCATATTTTTAAGCGTGCATTGGAAAAACAAAAATCTCCAAGTCAAGAGTTGAAGGATCTCAACAAAGTTGTTTTCGTTAATTTGGATTTTTTCTGGTAACTGTTTAAGACAAGCATCGAACTCTTCAAGTAATTCAATAAATTGTACGATATCCACATTATCGAATTTTTCGGTTTTGTTTCTTTTACGCAATTCAATGATATAATCGTTTAGGGATAACTTTTTACTCTTTTTTATTTCTGCATTAACATTAAGGGTTTTTAGTTTTTCTATTTGGTATTGTATGGATAAATGTAACGATAAATTAATGTTATTCCCTTTTTCTTCTTGTAAAAATTTGTTTATTATGTCAGGTGTCCATCTGTAATCCAAAGGAAGTCTAGAACTGTTTTTAAATTGATTTACGATTCGATTAAATTTGTCGATCAACTGCAAATCTTCTGAATTGTTTCTAAGAATGTTTTGCAGATACAAGTGGCGAATTTGCAAGTCCTCACAACTAGTAATACTATACATATTGGCAAGAATATATTTATAAATGGTCACACAACTGTTTCTATCTTTGTAATCCATAAGGCTCATCAAAAGGGAACACTGCTGTTTGACTTTGGCAATATCAGAAATACTTTGCAATTCTTCCGTTTTCAACGTTGAATTTTCGTTGTAAAAATCGATAATATCTTCATCTACATTTATTTCATCTACTTGACTTAAATACTTTCTAACTTCATCTGTGATTACCGTCACAGCATCAGTGCAATTAAATTCAACTGAAGACCTAGTCTTGTAGTACACTTCAATGATCGTGTCAGCAAAATTTACCACTCCGTGGTTTAATTGTTGAGAAATGAGGAATGACGCTTGTAATATTTCGTTTATTGTCGGTTTTTCTCCGAGTATTAAGTCGCTCACAAAGTTGTGCGTTTTAATGAGAACGTTAATCCATTCCGGGCGATTTAAACCGTTCAGATTAATCATGCTTTTTAAGTCTAACATGTTTAATTTTTCATCAGAATCATCGTTTACTAAACAGATTTCCACCCCCCTGTTTCTCATGGCACTATAAAAAAATAATAGAAAAATTACACAAATGAATTAATTAATTAAATAAAAAAATCTGCTTTAATCTGTTCTGACTGTTTATAATTGAATGGGCAGGTTAAGTAACAATTTTAATAATAAAGGACAAACAATATTGCAATTGTAAATAAGTGTTGCAATTACAATATTGTGATTGTTAATAAAAATATATTTTTGCTCTTTATTATTGAAAATGTTATTTTAACAAAACTTTTAAAGATCATTTTGGAATTTTATAAACATTGTAAACTTTTTGTTTCATGAAAAATCCTTTGGGGTTTACTAAAACAAAAAGTTTACAAATCAAGGCCACAAACTGCACAAGAACTACGGTAAAACAAGCCTGCGCACCTATTACTCCAGAACAAATACTAAAGGTAACTAACGTACATATGTAAAAGAATTATTAAATGGTGGATTACTTGAGGTAAAAAATGTAAATGTGGAGAATTTTTGGAATACTTTATTTTTTGTTTCATTGTTGTTTTAAGTTTCTATTGTGTTTTTTATTTGTCAACAGTAAGCATACAAATATTTATACTATGATATGCATGTTACTATTAGTTTAATTTCATTTTAATGTTTTTTTTATGGATAACTTGACAGAATAAATTTTTGTTAATAGTTATTATTGTGCAATTTTAATTTAGCTACAAAATCGTTGCTACTTAAAATTTTTCAATAAAATTTAGTTCTGGGTCGTTTTTTTTAATCGCTAATATAAATTCATAAAAATTTACTCTCAAAACCTGACATGTTAGACCTTGTAATTTGTAAAAATATATATATCTCGATATAGTTTATTTTCTTTAATTTAATTTAATGTTTAGATTTATTTTTTTTGTAATAAAGGATTTTTTTTATTTAAAATAATGTTAAGTTGTTGGATGCATTTTTTTCTTCAAATGTGTAAAATTTAAAAAAAAATTCCCAAAGCCTGAAAAAAAAAACGAAAAAAAAACAAACAGTTTTCCCCCATTTTTTCCGTTTTTTTCCGACACTTTAGAACCCTATAGGGTACCAATACAATACAATAATAATATAATATATATTATGCCTGTATTGGGAAAAGTGGTCTATTACAAAAATGAACAATCAAAAAATTATTTTGATCGCATAAGTCTTTAAAGTGCAGATATTAACTTACCGTGAAATTTCACCATTCTTAGGATCCATTGTCAAAAACAACCTAAAATCTTTATGAGGCCTAATGTGTACCATTTGACCATTAGCATCAACTCCTCTTTCGGCAATGGTTAAAACACCGTTGGGTTCTAAAAGAGCGTTTAGTCTGTCTAAAACTGCGGCGCTACACAAATTCACGTTGTCTATTAGCAACCAAGAACCATCTTGTAAACACTGAAATTTACAAATAATAGATAACTGTTTCAGGAGAATTATAAAACCTTACTTTTGTAAGCATTGAATCGACCCATTCAAATTTGCCTCCAGCATTTAATGATCCTTCCTTTTTAACGCAACTCGCCATTTTATCTCCTTTAGTTCTCAGATTATTAATCATTAGTTTGTTGTTAGTCAACTTTTCCAATTTATCCCACACTAATTCAAGTTTGGATATTTTTCTAACAAACAGTTTCGCTTCCTCGTCCATGGTTTGTTTTGTAGATACTAAAAAATAAACTCTCTCAAAATGCAATTTAAAACGTATTCCACTCTAAAATTTCCACTTCGTTACGGGTCGCGAAACGCTAAAATTTGATTTTTTCTCTCATTGAAATTTACCTAGCTTATGCAAATTTTCTCATTACTCTGCAAACTCGTATAGTGAAATATAAACGTAGTTTCGATTTAAAAGTTTCAAGTTTAAACCGTAATTTTAATATTGAGGCACTTGCGACGAATTTTAATTCCGCGGTGCTGTAATTAAAATTAAATCGTATAAATTCAAAAAAAAAAAAAAAAAATAATCTTCAAGCGAAAGGACAACTTTGTTAATTTGTTAAACAAATATTATAAATATTCCCCAACACCAAGCAGTTAGTTTAGTTACACTTCGCTTCTGAAGATGCCAACATCATTGGCGAAAAGTACTTTAAAGTGTTTTGTTTTGGTGTTGGGGAATAGTTCTAATATTTGTTTAAGCGTTCTTTAATTTAATACTTATTTATGTTATAAGGCTAAAACGTCTTTTTGTGTTGAGCTCAAAGTTTGAGCGAAGCACAAATAAACACTTATCAGCCTAATAGCAAACAATGTTTTCTTCAAGGCACAATACATAAAACATACAATTATAATAAATATTATCAAAAGTAGAAAGTGTGGTTAGTTTGATCTGACAGTAGTCGAATTTTTTAATTGGTTTAAACGTTTTCTTAACAGACTAGCAGTGGCGGCTCGTCGTATAAAGCAACTGAGGCCGGGCCTCATATGTTAAAATTAGAATATAATTTGAAATGTTGAATACATTACTTAAATAAATATAAAACGTTTTAAAACTAATTTCCAGTCATCAAAAGTATCAAAACATCGAATAACCATCAAAGTTTAAAATATTTCTTTTAAATTTAGCGCGCTCCCCTTCCAACTTTAATTCTAAACACTTAAATCATTGCCCGACCGCATAATAGAGAAATAGTAATCCCATAAATTTGCGCTTCATATACGTCACACATTTCCGATACAACATCATGCTCCCCACCGCTGCAGGGTGCCGGCGGCACCCCCGCAAGGCGGGGATAATACGCGAATTTTTGTAGACATTGAGGCCCACAAAGTTGGGCTTGTACCACAGTATATGGAAGACAGTCCCGAGATCTGTGCGGCTCGCTTATCAGCCGTTGTAAAAGACTGGGCATGGAATGTTTTAGTAAACAAAGCTTATTAATTAGATCTATGCGTGTTTATAGTTTCTTATTTCTGTTTAGTCTTTGCCTTAGCGTTAAAATGGAAAGTTGTGATAAAAATGCAAGCGTAAAATACATTATTGTGTTGTGAATTCATGTAAAAATAATTCAAATAATTATAAAAGATCATTTTTATTTTAATATATTATTATATTAACACACAAATACCAGAGTATAAATCACAAAAAGTATAAATAAAAATATGCATGTTTTTTTATAGTTGAGTTTCATATACCTACTGTGATTGTACATCATTATTTTGTTGTTGTGCGGTTGTGCCTTTATTAATCTAAAAATAATTATTGTAAGATAGGTAATGAGCAGTACCTCCTGGGTAATGTGGAAACCTGCTGAAGGAATAAATAAAAATCCCACCTCATCCCGCACTTTTTGTATTCTCGGCCATTTCAAGCGCGCGAAACGCACGAATTACAAAACTGTTTTTATAAAAAAAATTGTAGATTATTTATTATATAATATTTTGGCATCAAAATTGTCAAAAATATTCTTCTTTTATTAGGTTATACATTAGATAAAAAAAAACTCAAGAAATATTTTATGAAAGTAGATATAATTTTAATAATTGAAAGGTGTGGACGGGACAAAAAAAAGATTTATCTTGTCCCGTCCATCCCTGTCAATTATTGAAATTATCTCTACTTTTATAAAATATTTCTTGCGATTTTTTTTATTTAATGTATACCCTAATAATAGAAGAATATATTTGACAATTTTGATGCAAAAATAATACATAATAAATTAGCTACAATTTTTTTTATAAAAACAGTTTTGTGATTTGTCCCGTCCATCCGCTTGAAATGGCCGTTCTAGCTAAGTTTTGAAAATTCTTCTCGTGAAAGAACATATTTTTAAATAATATATTGTTATTATTTAGATTCTGAAGTGCTCCAAAAACGTGAGACCTTAAAAATTTCAAGAAAATTGCCTGCGGCGCCATATAGTGGTTCATGGGCCTCACCCTCATGAATGGTCACGAGCCGCCACTGCAGACTAGGAGGTAGAAAACTTTAACCGATTGGTTCACAATCCACACAACAAGTTCTGTTTTATCTCGTTTTGCGCATTCTAAAAATCACAAAGTTAGGCAACCCACAGCACAGACTCTTTAACACAGACTCTTACGTCGGCCATTTTTATGTTGTTTACAATTCTTGTGCTTTGGGTTTATGCTGTTTATATAGAAGAAATATCCTTTTAAACGTTGTGTTTCTTACAGAAGCCAAGGAAAACCACGTTACTCATCTTTTGTACAAAAATGCCTTATTCTATCAGGGCTGTTATCAAAGTGTCAAATGTCAATTATTGGGTTAATTTACCTTAACCCACAAATTTACCATATATGGTACATACAAATTAAGACGATAACTGCTCATAACTTTACCTAATATAATTTATATTTAAGATAAGACATTTTAAAAAAATAATTTTTGTACAAACATAACCTTAAAATCGAATATTTTTATATTTGAGTCCTCTAAAAAAACGCCACCTGCATTTTAAACAACAAAATATTGCTACGAATTCATGGCAACATAATATTACATATAAAACATAATATAATACTGGTTCTTGGTATTTTACTGTTGAGTGAAGAGTTTCTTAATCAACTCTTTTAATAATGCTAAATGGTGTTTGAATTCATACACTTATTTGTTTTATGATTTTTACTGAATTGAAATGTTTAAAATTTTTACGTAAATAATTACTAAAATGTGTATTTATTGTATCTAATAGGTAAAATTTATATGCTTATTTTTAGAGAAAAAAAGTCCTTTGGTTAGTGATATTTAATCGATAGATGGCCCCATATAATGCAGGAAGAAAAAACGTAAAACAATATTTGTCTGTGTTATTTCTATGGTAAATTTTAAAACTCGATGATGCACCACTTAAAATTGAAATTAAGGGTTGGGATTTGGACAGAATTTTTATTTCGGCTTTTTCTATGGAATTTTCATGTGAGAGCAAAAAAAACCAATATCGCCACACCCTAAAGTATATATAACTAGTAATAAACAAATGCATCCTAATGAAATTTCCAATAATTATATTGGCACTTTAATTAGTATTATCCTGAGTAAGGACAAGGGTAAACTAATGAATATTTATTCCCATACAACAAAACTAATACTTTTAACGCAACCGGTTGGGCATTTTTATAAAATGTGCTACAACATACAGATTTGTAGAATTGTGTAAATTAACCTAAAATCGAATTTATTTATTTAATTAAATTAGTTTTATGAGTTTATAATTAAATAACTTTGTTTAATATAAATTCCGATAGCGTTGAATGCATACATATTATTTATTTACTGGCTTTTAAAAGCATCTATAGATTTTCTATTGAACAATTGGGTGGTGATAATAATTAAATTTGGTGTATGCATCGACGCCAGTCTTCTTTATTACTATAATAATGCCAAACAAAATGCAATTTGTCTAGTAATAAACTATAAAACAGATAACGCAACGAGGTTATTTGTTCGTGTTAAATTACTCCGGCATTGGCCATCGGTGTCCTATTTAAATTTACCTCCTCTGTTTTGTGTTGATTAATTGATAGCAGTTTTTTGTGAATTAAATTAATTATAAAAATGCAATTGATAATTTTAAAGATTATAGCAAAATCTATACAATCTTTAAAAATTTCATTCGTAATTAATCTATCGATTAATTAATGGTCAAAAACAAATTATTAAATAAACCTGGAATTCATTTTTGACCATTAATTTTCCGTATTTGTCATATGCATATATGCACTAAAATGCAATATTTTGTTTTTAAATTCATTTTATTTTTATTTAATGTAGTAACAAGTTTTGACAGTTTTAACAAATTGTTATTTAATGTTTTTATTACTGAAGTAAAGTACCTACATTTAAAAGTAAAATTAAAAATTTATTTTACAAAATAATACATTTTAAACCATGTGGTTAATTAATTAGGTTTAAATATTAAATTATATACACAGAGGCGTACTGGTGACCCTTAAGGTTCCCGTGGGTTTTATGTAAACGTTTTATTTATTATGTAAGTCAAACGAAAATTATTTCAGTCAGGGGAACAGCAGGCGATCGCCCGGAAGCCAGGACGGGCCTTCTTTAAAAGGGTTAAGAAAAATAAGGTCCTATAAAAATATGAAGAAACGTGAGTAAAGTTTTGTAAAAATATGTTTTCCTTTTAAATAACATGCTTTTGTAGATCATTAATTTAACTAGTTCTTCGCCTGTTAGATAATGTACTATTTTGTGTTCGTTGTAGATAAAGTATAGAATGAAATTCGTTTATAGACACTCATTTTTACTATTTTACATATGTCAAACGTAGTATTTAATGTCTAGTTTAACATTCTAAAGTGTCCAATTTCTAATCTACCGGTTCTAAAAATAAAAGGGGGGTAGTTTTTATGTTCTCATTGTATAGTAAAAATGTATTTATCTTTAATTTAAGTATAAATTAAATTATTATACAGGCTGTAAAAATAATTAAGAACCATAGAGAGTTTTTTACGTTCGACATTTTGATCAATCAAAATCTTCGACTAGTCAGATCTACCTAACCTTACTTTTTACTTTTAATAGTATTATATATGAGCTCAAAGTTTAAATACAAGTATTTTTTCATAAAATCAATAATTTCTATTTGCTATTACCTGCAGGTAATAATTACCTATATTCCTTTTAAACTACAATTATTTTGTAAAGGTGAATAGCAAATTTGTGAGATCATATATATCATGCAGTAAAAGTTTATTAAAATTTTAAAATCGACAATATTTTTTGCAAGAACTATTTTATTACCTACCTATTTTAATTAAAAATGCAACCTCAAAAATTCCAAATTGAAACTGCAATTCAGATTTATTCGAGGACGCGTTCGTTTATAAAACTAATTTAAAAGCGAAATATTTTTTCAACGAGTAAAGTAATTGCGTACTGGTTAAATTTGTGGATAGGTGGGTAACGACGTAGGTAGATACAATTCTACGTAGATAGTTTTGTAGGTAAGTATCATGTAATTGAGTTTATAGCTTAATTACAAATTTGCTACACTCAATATCTTGAAAAACTTTTACTCTAAATTTAACATTCTTACTGCGTCAACTCAACTTCGTGGTGTATTAAACCACACAAGCCGTTTTATTGTACCGTATTTAATTTGAGATAAAACTTTTTTGCATGATTAATTTGCTGCACGAAACTCGTTTAAAAGAGAATTAAAATTGATTTAATTTGGGACATGTTTATTAATGATTTTTACCCTCTTAATTTACTTCTCATCAGAGACTACTTACCACTCTCTCTGCTTCTCATCTTTGCTTTCGTTTAGGTCGTTTTTATTTTTTTTTAGATAATCATTATACTAATGATTTTTTAATTTGGGATCATTAAGCTTAACTTAACAAATGTTTCGCGAAAAAAAAAAAATTAAGTTAACTTTACTTTAAGTTTATCAAATTTTTGTATTATTTACTACATAGTAAAACTAATTAACTTAAATTAAGTCTTCATAATACTATACACGAAGAAAACTGTTTTTAAAAAATCCAGTGATTTGGAGACAGCTTTAATGTTTTAGGAGTGTGTTTATCCCAGACTCATATATTTATCTTTATAAAGATAATACTATATATTAACAATCGCCCAGTAAAATTTTGATTTTATAAACTGACTAAAATTAACTAATATAAATATAAAATAAAAAATAGGATTACATACCACTAATTTCCTTAAAAATCTCCCAAATGTTAATCAAATCCAAACTTTCGTCAATTTTCTTTGAAATTAATAAATCTTGAATAATTTCCATAAGCATGTGTTCGGTCAGTCTTATAAGTTCATCCAAATGTCTGCTATAGTCGGTCTGAAAAGAAAAATATTTTTATTATTACAATTTAAAAAAATAATATAAGTGCTGTCAAGAAAAATATATATCTATAAAATATTATTGCTACTTTTACACATTTCCAATAGTAAAATGTCTCTTAAATATGAACTAATGAAAGCCGTAAAAATAATGTTCTATAAGAAGTTTATATGCAATGAAAAAAACTGAATTTTACGCGTTTTATGTGGCAGAAAACCCAAAACGGCTTGAACCGCATTAAACGGGGAAATAAAAATATTTGATGGGTGTTCTCTCTTGTTATATGTGTTTTGTTTCTGGTATTAAAAAAGAGAGAAAGAGACAATAGGATAAAAAATTAATACAGCCCAAGAGGCAGTTATTGCTTCTTTTTTGTATCGTTTTCGGTTAAGTGCCTTTTTAGAGAATTACTAACGGTATCCATTAAGAGTATTTGAGACACTTGACCATGGAACTTTAATCAACAGGCAATTAGCAGAAGCTCCAAGCATAAAGGAATCATTTTGTCATCATCAAACGCCTTCATTGCTGGATATTATTAACGTTTTTATATTTAATGGTATTAATTGTTTCAGCATATTTTGTGCTTAAAGCCATTACGTTTCAATTCAAAATGTAAACCTAGATTACAAACAAACGTACAACTTGCCTATATTATGCTTGTTAAAATAATATGAGGATGATATATAAACACAAGTGGTGTTTTAGTTTAATTAGAATTGAAGGGAAAAGAAACAAAACCACCCAAGTTAGAAACAATTTTTACTTAACAACTGATATTTAAGATACTGAAACTGTACTTAACTAATTTTTTGTTTAAACTTCACAGGCTGTTTTGCTTTTTATTCCTTCTATTATTATTTTATGCTCATAAATGTAAAAAAAATGTATAAATAGTATACTGTGGGTTAGTACTTAAATTTAAATTACCCTGTACATAAAAACTAAAAAATGTATATCAATGTATATCAATATATATCAATTATCATTATCACTGTGCCACCTATAAAAAATTAACATACCATCAGGTTTCTACTTTGTAAAATTGAAAATTATTAATAAATGAGCATGGAATATGAATGCACGTCCGTAAGTAATACCTACGAATACACGAATATATCGAACACATTAACTGGATTTATGCATAAAACCTGATCAATCACCGGATAAATTCAATAACGCACTGAAAAAAGCAAATATTTGCAGAAAAATTTAGTTAATAAAGGGAAAATAGTTATTTATGCATCAAGGCAGTAAAGTCGTATTTTTTATCACGAATGTGGAAATTATTTGCCGAGGCTAAAGCCGAGGCAAATAACCACGTGAGTGATAAAGAATGACTTTAATGCCGAGGTGCATATTAAATTTGATCCGAAATCACATTTAATAATACTAATAATTAATATTGATGATTAAATCAAATGTAATTTGATAATCAAATCAAATGTCACTTGAATGTAGGAAGTGTCTACGTATACTGTTTGTTTCGACGGTTATTATAAATTTGCCCGCCGCGGCGATTTTTTAATCTAATTAATAAAATAAACTTATTTTTATTAAACAACATTTTATAAAAGGGTCCAATCAACCTTCGCGACGGTGCTTTTTAAAAAAATATTATTTAGTTGCTGCTGAGGAGCAGTAGACACATCTTAAAATGTATAATGGGTTGCATACAATACTAAATACTAAAGTTCTACCCTACTGCCGATTGTTGACTACTTTACTGCCGATTTCGGATAAAAATATTTTTTTAACCTATACGCTACACATTACATCAATTTAAAAATTACTTAATAATAGGTGATAAAAATTTACATAAAATGTAAAACTAGTAATAAAATAATAATAATTAGTAATAAAATAATTTTTGTCCTTAAAATTTAAATTAGGATGACCGCTTGGCTGAAGTTTTATTAAATGGACGTTAATGCCAAAAGATTCATCAAAACTATATGTAAGTATCCAGACATTTATGTTATTATTATAAAGTAAAAATAGAGCTGACAAAGCTGTATTAAACAAAACTAATGATATTTTTACCAAACGTTCGCAAAGAATGCACGCGTGCAATTTTTTACTATAACCATGTTATTATTATTTACTATAACCATGTCGCGACATGCATGTCGCGACATGGTTATAGTAAAAAATTGGAAAACGACGTGTTTTACAGCGATACAAACATACATTTATCTTTGTCGAGAAATAAAAATTTGTTTTTCTCTTCTTTTCAATGAAAATCAGTATGAAGATATTACAATTTAAAATTGTCACATACTACATTTATATACAAAATTATATTTATTATGTTAACAAAAAGCCCCTTTTTAATTAAAAAAATATAATTACAATAATAATTAATTAATTTATTGACAAATTCAGTCAATTTTTTTCAAGGAGTTATAAGGTCAGTACGTTTTCAGATATAAAGTAATGTTGCCAGACGTTAGGAAAACAAGATTTTTATATGAAATATTTGAAAATAAGTGACGAAAATATCTTGTAAAAATATTATAATACCATCATAAATTTTATTTTTTTTAAAGCGGAGCACATTCAATGGTTTTGTAAGTAAGCATGATAGAATTGTTTAAAAAACTACTTTCTTTTGAAAAAGAACAAATAGAATTTGTGAAAATGCATGAGCTTAAAAAATAAAACATGACAACATAAGATTGATTGAAAAAACTTGAGATATCCTGCAAAAGCATGAAACCTGGCAACATCGCACAGGAATGTCACATTCGCGATTCCCAGTACCAACTACCATGATACAACATGACCAACTACTACCAACCCACACTACCAATCATGTACAACAAAAATAACTGCATAAAATAAGAATTATGTTATCCAAATACGATAACTTCGATATTAGAAAAGTTTGCAATAAATTAATAACAAATTTGTAATATTATTACAAGTAAATATTAAAACAAATGCAATATTTATTTACAAGGGTCAAAACACTTAAAAAAGTCATTTCGGAAACGTTCCAGTTTGTTTAATAAGATTTTAATGGTGTCCCATTTATATTGTAGTTGTGGAGCAATCATACAAAAGCAGATAAATCAAGTTTTGTTGAAAAATGAGTTAGGCATGAACTAACAGTAAATGAGGTAAGATTAATCCATTGGTGAACTCAGAATTGAGCCAAACCATTTAATTGATATAGAATACCGGTCTCAAAACCTTGCAAATCAAGCAAAAGCAGATAAATCCAAATTGATACAATTTAAATTCTTGTTTAAATAAAAATAAGAGAAATTGTTATTTTAAATAAACTTAAATGGCAATAACATTTTTCAGATTAATGCTGGGCCACCCTGTATAGGTCAATGGATAAAACGGTTTTTTATTCCTATTTCAAGCAAATGAAGATAAATTCTGCCAATTCAAGCAACACTTGATAAATCAATAAAAAAAAATAAAAAATCAGTTTTCAGGTCTTATAACACCTATACTCTATAGAATACATGGGTTGTTCTTTGTGTAAATATTGCAAAAAGAAAAATATTAGTTTTTTTGCTGATAACTCGAAACTGATTAAAACGAATTTATCTGCTTTTGTCTGCTCCACAGTTAAACATTAATAATAGTGTATTTTGTATCAAGTTTGATAAGCGCCATTTTAGTCACGAATTTGAATTAGGAACGAGCGAGCTTGCAAGTGAGTGTTTATTTAAATGATTGTCTAGAAAAGTTTATAAACGAGTTGCATACTATACTTTTTCTACAAAAAATACTTATTGCAATCTAAAAATAATTTAAATTAAATATTCGTACAGAGGGACATAGATCTATAAAAAAATAGAGTAACTCGCGTAAGAATTTCTAACAAAATGTTTAAATAATCACATAGAGGCATTTTTTTACAGTGAAAGTGAAGATAATGTTTTATGGACACTTCAGGTGGAGTTAAATCAATTTTACTGCCGGCAAAATCAAAAGGTCAGTATAAACTTGCAAATATACTGTTCAAATAGGTATCGTTTTTGAGAAACTATTTAATACTTCTTATTTTTCTATTAAGATAATAAAATACACATTATTTCACAAGAAGGGCACTTTATTTTAACGATTGTATGACATTTGACAACTGTCAACTTACTTAAAACTAACTTCAACCCGTGACTAAAAACCTGTTGCTAACTTCAGCCCGTGACTAAAACGCCATAAAGTCACAACTTGTCAATGTGTATTTAAAAGATCACTTAGTATCAAGGAAACATGAACGATAATGCTCGTTTTAAAGGTGGTAGTCGCAAAATATATTTATAAACCAACAATAAATGTTGAAGTTTTATCAGTAATTTAATTAACGCTGCGATGCTTTTCATTACTTTCTTGTTAGCACAAGTGGTTTATTTGTATTGTTCAGGTAAAGTTTTTACCTAACCTTTTGGTAGTTTAATCAAAACTTTTATGGGGTTGAGTAATTAATTTTAATTCAGTGAAGTTTACAAGGTGGGTATCAAATTTATTTTTATGGGGCTTTTTGTTAATTACACTGTCTAGTAGTTTGCTAAATTTGTTGTTAAAGTTTTTAACCATTAATATTCATGAAATATTCGACATTATACTAAAATATGTAACTTACGTTTTATGAGAAATTTATACTGCATTCGTTAACATAAATGTCCCGAGCACGTAAGAGCACTTTCTTTAATCCTCATAATACTGTTGGTATTAAATATTTTGAATGCCCTTTTAATCTATGTATTTCTGTAAAACCAAAGGCCTTATAGGTTTTTTATTCATGGAAATAAAAAAATCACATGGGGCCATGCCTAACAAAAATGGAGACTGATGAATCATAACAGTGTTTCCACTTTTTTCTCGTTTTCATCTGCCATATAACAACTTGTTTATGTGGCTGGACGTTTAAGGCGCTTGTCATATTTGTCGTTACGGCCATTTTAAAAGCAATTATACCATTCTTCTTTTTTTACCCATAGTGGACTCACCAAAAGCAATAAATTATTGCCAATAAT